ATAATAATTACGATAACCTTATTATTATTACCTTATATGTATTAATATAAATTAAATTGATTTTTAATACATCTACTAATTAATACCTAATTTTGTTTTTAAATACGGTTTCTGCTACTTATTTGAATTTTCTTACTTCTAATTAACAACGCCGCGTTTTAATTTAGTTACTAATACCGCCTGTTGCTATTTATAGGTATTATGCATCCACTGCATAAACATTAACATTAATTATGTTCACTTGAACTCACAGTTATGCCCAGCATGCGCCTTATTTGCTGAATGTATTCACTTCGCATTGATTTATTTGCGTGAAAAAAATGTGCAAGTTAATTAATTTCATAATTAATTTATCAGGATTATTATGAATAGCATAAATTTATATTCTGGCTGATTATGCGGTGCTTATCGCGTCGAAATTGACCGTTACGTGGTTATCGTGTAATTCATATTTTATAACAAAGTTATAAAAAGTTGAGGTTGCACCGAGTTTAACTAAATATTTTTCTAATGATAAAATCTTTAATGGTATTTATTAGGTTCACACTGTTTAAATATATACATATCGTATTTAATTAAAATTTATTATGGTAATTATGCGATTGTACATGCCAATTTAAAAAGGAAGTTTGATTATAGAGTTATAATCAGTATTATTAATTGTATTAAACCACAAATTTGGTGTTGATTTTTTAGGTGGTCAGTTAAGTAGGTAAAATTATATTTTTACGTTTATTGTATTCAGTTATTTAATTTTTTTATCGAATATAATCAAATAAAATCTTTGAATTTTCAGTTCACACTCATTCTATTGAATTAAAAAAGAAAACAATAAATTTTTTTTGCAATTTTAAAACTTTACACGAAAGTGTGATTTTGACTTTTGAAAAATAAATGGTTAACTCTTACCTCCCGTAGTAAAATCGTACCTTGCCATAAAATTGCATGATACGACAAATAACTTTTTGATAGTTTGGCCATAGTTTTGAACATGCATGCAAATCATACATATTGGATATTATACCATATTTGCTTTATTAATCTTGGTCCAATGTTCATAATGCTGCTCCTTACTATGCAGGCATTTTTAAAGCAGGAGTTAGCCACATGCTGCTTTGTTTCCAGCGATTTTTAATACGTAAAATTCGATTATTTTGTGGATTTGAAAATGCGTTTACAGGAAAGTTTATTTATCAATTGTAGGTAGGTGCGAGAGCAAAAATTAATTGTATTGTATTTAATATTACTATTATCAAGACACATTTCTAAGACATTTAAAATGCGTAAAACCATATGTTAATATTCCAAAATGTTTAGCAAAATTTGCATTGGAAATCACTTATAGATGTGTTACGCCTATCTATCATGCAAAAGTATTAAATGAGATATACCTACATGTTGGAATAGAGGTAGGACTCACACTTGTTATAATTATTTGATGTGTCTCGAGATAGCGTTAAAATGCACTCATTTAGATAAAATTTACGAAAAACACGCCCTGCACAATACTGTCTTTAAATTTTATGTATTAGACAATTATTTCTGTGTAAAAATGACCGAGATTAGATAAACAAGTGTTTTTCGGAAAAACTCTTTCATTATGCCATAGTTATGCGCTTCAATTACGTGCCAATCTAGTGCAATTTTGACATTACAGTGATGGTTTTAAAAATTATATGCTTGTACCAAAAATCAAAGATTTTCTTCTTCGAACGCGGTCTGTACAATACGATTGAATTGTCTCAAATTAGTTGCATTATCTTGTGGTGTTATTGCAATACTCATACCGTTTTATTTACAACTTTATCAAATAATGACAAAAACAAATATGGGTATTTTGTGAACATGACACACACTTTGTTTCATTAACGTTTTTCTTGCGGCGCTTTTGCGTCTGGCAGTCGTTAAATTATAATCATGGCAATAACCATATCATAACAATAATAGTTACTTTGTAGGTTCATAACTAAAAAAGTAAATAATTAAAATACCACCTCGAAATAATTCAATTTGTATAATTTTACTTTGTACTTCTGCATACCATTTTATTACGAAAAAGAAAAAGGAAAAAGTTTTTATTATAATATGATTTTAACCTACCCTTTTTCTAAACAAATAAAATTAAATGTAATGTGCACGGAACACGCAAAACTATTCATATTTTAATTTAATTTAACTAACAGTACCTTAATGATTTTAATAAATTAAGTAATAAAATATTACTTTTTTACCCTGGTGTACACAATTTTAATGCATGTAATTAAATAATATGTAAACATTTTTACTAAAAATTGTTATTTTTTGTTTCAGGTGAGTAAAAATACTGTTTGCATATGCTACTCAGTGAATAGTATTCACCTAAAAGGGAATGGAGTCAGAAGTTTCACGGTAGGCAACTAAATAAACACAGTTTAAGTCTATAAGTAAAGCAACTCATCCACGTACATAAGTTAAAATAAGCGCGTAAGCGCCACTTTCGTCGATAAATCCACACATACGCATAAAATTAAGCAAATATTTAATTTATTTGATAAAATACAGGATATAAGTTTAATCTAACCAAATATAAATCAATCAAACTTCATAAATTTTGCTTCGACGACAAAATTCGCACATTTATAGTACGATTTGTTAAGGTTTATAAGTTGATTTATTTTATTCACTTACCTGGTGGTTTGATAAGTTATCAGCAGATTGGAAAGTTTGGACTCTATCGTTTTTGTATGTTCGGGATTAACTTGTCACCGTTGATAAGCAAGCTCGATTATTGAAATTTGCACGACAAACACTCGAAGCGCAACTTGAACTTGAAGGCTTCAGGAAACTAAATGACCGAAGAAGACCACGCCGGTCTTTACAAAGTCGTCCAATACTCCATCCAGTTCATTTCCAGCATGAGCCCCGGCGAAGTTCACCGTACAAAGCGTTACGTGAGTGAAATAGCTGCGTTCGTTTTTTCATCGTTTAATTAGTCGATTCCTTTGGAAGTTGGTGCCGAAAACCGTTAGTTCTTACGGTTAATAACAGACAAATCTTTTTTTCCTTGTAATATTGCATAATCTTTGCAATTATATTTACCTAATTCAGAAATAATTTAAGTTTAATAGTATTTTAGTTTAGTTTTTTTTAGGAGAGCTTTTGTATAGTAGTAAAAAAATTGATTTAGTATCGTATGGTGTTACGGATTTTAAATTTCCTGGAAATGTGTCTTAATAATCTATACTATAAAAATGAATCGCACAATCTGTTGGTAAGCGCATAACTCAACAATGTTTAGACAAATTTGGCCTATTCTTTTTTTAGAATGTTTGTTAAAGTCCAAGAATTGTTTTTTCGGCGAGAAAAAAATTGAATAATTGCCGGGAAAACCCAAAAGACGCCCTATTCTATAGGATAAAAGTTAGCATTGAGATTCAATCATAGTTATAGTTAAATAGTTGAATCCGAGATGGCGAGCTGAAGTGCATTATTAGCAATTCTTCATATAATTAATTTCTTTAAAATAAAATTGCGAATCTTATTGATAGATTGACATATACTATGTCTAGAACAAGAGAGTAGAAACAAATTACATTTTCATTAAACACTACCGGGATGAAGTCGCGGGCAAAAGCTAGTTTTATGTAAAAAAGATTTAGTATTGTATGGTATTACGACATTTAAATTTCCTGGAAATGTGTCTTAATAATACTTTAACGTAGTTAAGAAATTAGTCAGTCTTTGATTTTATTGCTTTCCAACAGTAGTGCGTACTCGTTTGTTTTTTTTGAATTCACAATGCGACTATTCATGCATCTTAAAATGAACACAATATAACAATAGAACAGCCGTGTTGTTGCATATGTCTCTTAATGCATTCGTCAGCAAAGTGTGAAAATCAAAGTATTGTTAATTATCTTAACTGAAGTCTTATTAGTCATTTTTTTCTCTCAAAATTACATTTTTACAACAAAATTTACATCAATCGCGCTTAATATACAACGAAAACATTTTTCTGTACTTATTTTGTCTTCTTGTCTCTAGATGGCATTGCTATTCACTTCAGTTGAATGTTTTCAATCAAACAATGTTGCTTATTGGTTTATTCCAGTTCTCTTTCATGCCATGAACTTTATTGTCCATTAATAAAATCGTGACGAACGTCAATGCTCAAGTTGGTTCAATTAAAGCCAATTGGTACCAAAGACAAATCTATTTTGCTTGTGGGTGTCACGATATTTGACTTTTAAATTCTATATCCAATCTTTCGCAATAATTTCCACCCAATTTACTTCATTTAACAGCGTAAAATATTGTTGTTGTTCTTCTAAAAAGTAATTTATTTAAATTTTCTTGTTTTGAGCGCTTTGCGGCGATGCACGCCGAATTAAAAATTACATAACTGTGCTTGAATGGTTGGAAATCCTCGGATGGTTTTGTTCGCGATTCGATTCCGAAAGATAGAATTTAACCGCGCATTGGTATTGTCGACGGTTAATATTCTGCCATTCATTGCGTTCGTAAAAGGAATGTTGCACATGAATGCCTTTAGGATTTAAGTCACTTGAGTTAAGTGACTTGAGTCACGTTGGCCGCTCGCGATTGTTGCGAAATCGCATTTCAAGTCCAAATAAACGAAACAAATGAAATTAAAACGCAACAGATGTGCAAGAAGATGGACTATAAATCAGCTTTCATACATATGTAATGCTCGTTTATCAAAGGTGTGTGCCGGTGCGTTTATTGTTTAATGGATTGTATTAACAGGAACGTAAATAAGCGCGCAAAGTCACAGAGTGGAGTTGGTGTCAGTACGAAAGCGTTGCGCGTTGCTTGAGTCCAAGTCGTTTGCGCATGCGCATATAGCAAACACCTGAGTGTAGCGCGCGCGCGCGCGCACCGCACGGTGCACAGTCAACTGGTCCCGTGAAAACATGTTTCGCCCGCACGCACACACGCGCCGCGCGGGCACAGCGAGTGGCTGTAGTGTAGTAGAAGGCTAGAAGAAACTAGCGAACGGCGAGCAGCGCCGAACACACGGCGGCGTTCCCGATCGGCAAGTCGTCCTACGTGGGCACGCGGTGCCGCATATGGCAAATATAAACAAAAGTGCAATGAACATTATCGAATCGCCGGCGATTTCGGTGCGTGTTTGCGCGATTTGCACGTTCACTGCGAGAGCGCCATTATCACACAACTCCTGCGTTGTGTGTACCGAACCTGAGTGTTTGTGCTGTGTAAGTGTACGTGCGTAAACTGTGTATGTGTGTGAATTGTGTAGTGTGTAGTGTAGATAAGCACACTGCTCAAAAGTGCTCAAGTAGCGCGGATTGCGTTTACCTGTTGACGTAATGCAAATTATTACGTACATAAGGTATATTATTTTCATGCTTCAAATTGGTTCGGATCGATTCAGTATCAGTGTTGATTGTTTTTGTGCTAAACGGCGAATTCAAGTGGGTGACTTTGTTCTAGACTTGTCCCCACTTGTTTGTTGTCAAATAGCACGCTGGAGAGTTGTACTTAATGCGTTTGTGGCACGATTTAATATCGCCGTCTACCGAGTCTCCCAAAATAAACCCGGCGAGTGGAAGTTGAAGAAAAGAACATCCAACCTCAAAAACTAACAAGAGATGCGCAGATGAGACACCGAGAAATAAAATCAACACGAGTCAAATGACTGGGGATTATTGTTTCGTGAGGATTCACGGTCAATTATGAAATTAGGGAATGTCTAGACAGTCCTAGACAATAATTAGTCGCTATATTATACATATATTAACGGTATTTAAAATATTTACTGTATTACAGGAAATAATTTTGATATCACGAATCTACGAAATGTGCAATGAAATAATATTTGCGCACGCGTTTTGCGGTTTACTTTACTTTAATTTAAGTTCTACGTACGCCGTTCTGGAATGTGCTCCAAATCGTCGCGTCCTATATTAAAATCAGATCATAATCGCATGAACCAGAAGTGCGCTAAGCGCTATTTTTGACAATTCGTTGTGGTCAACTCTGTATTTTTATTTATCTCGCGTCGAACTCGACTCGAAAATAACATTTTGTTATGTCACTTATTTCCGTGTTTCGGAATTTCGGAACAATATCTACATTTACACCTGATTTGATATCTTCAAGGTGTTGCAAACACTTAAAGTGTTCTATTGCTTTTGTTGCTGTTTGAAAAGTAGAGTCCGTTCACTTGTAGAGACGATTATACAGTTAGATGTATGACGTCCGTACGTACTTCTTTGACTTAAGTAATGTCTGCACTGAGTATGAGTGCTTCGGCTTACTTTTTTTACTACTTTTATTGTCATTAACGTCCCACAAGTGTTTTTGTAATTTGTTTCGAAGACATTCTAATGCTAAATCGATTTTTGTGTTAGCACTTAGATGGCTGCAAATCACCGAAGCCTCTGAATTCTAATTGAAGAATTTATTCATGATACCGATGCTAAACGCCGGTGGTTAATTGAATTATTCGATACAAAGCGTTTTAGAACAATCGAAGCAACATGCATATTTAGCACATTTGGGTTGTGATTTATTCCGATTAATTTGACTTGCCGCCTACGATAATCGCACGCGTTGCAATTGCCATTAATCAAGTATAATAACATTGTTTAGTGCACGCACATGCGCACATCACATACTAAATCAGTTTAAAGTTTTCGGATTTATTATCTACATGTCGGCGGCGTGTGATGGTTTGAGATGTTGTTTTCTGGTCTAATTGTCAAATTAATTGGGTTATAGTGCTGTTCAAATGCGGTAATTAATGCGGGCGTTTGAACAATTCGCGATCGCATAATGGCTGCTAATAAGCCGGCATTAGAATTACCTACTGTGTCGACGTGTGTGTCGGTGTTGTAGTTACTCGGGTGTTAACAAACAAAACGAGAACGAAGTGAATATATGAATTTAGTAACTTGAGTACATTTTATGATTAAATATAAATAGTCATGAACAATATACGTTTGGAATTTCGATGGCTGCGGGCTTTTAAATGTACATGATACTTTGATCAAGATATTTATTTCTTTAGTCATGAACGCCTGCTGCGCATCAACAAATGATGCAAAAAAACTTGGGTTTACTTAATTTTTTATTATGCGATTGTTATTGGTGATAAGTTTATAGGTACCTATATAAAGCTATAAAGTGATTATAATCGATTTATTCACGATTATATTGTTTTTATATTTTCAAAGCCTTTTGGTTTGTTACTTAAAAACTGTTCGCACAAGAATTACAGATGTTTTATACATAAATTAAAAATTAAATTATTTTTGACTAAAAAATTGGTTTAAATTTGTTTCTATAGATTGATAAAAACGAATTATCATTAAAATCAATTAGGTAAATGTCATTCTCAGAGTGGATTTCTGCAGAAATCATTAATATAAATTAATAGATATATTAATAGATATATAGATAATTAGTTATTAGTCAATAGCTACAAGACATCGTAAATACAGTACATTCCAGTACATTAATTCAATGTTTTATTGCTAATATGATAAATTTAAGTTCGTTCACCCGAGGCAAACGAAGAATGTTGCTTGCTAAGACAATAATTCCTCTTCGAAATAAATTGTCACTTGTCGACACGTCTTGCTATTATATTTAAGCAGTTGCAAATTTATTTCGCTTCGCGTTTGCCGAATATTATATTATACACGTACCTGAGTATATTTAGCGTACCTACTACCTGTTCATTGCCATTAAATCGGGTAGAAGGATACGCTTAACAGGTAGTCAAATTTGTAGTATTTAAATGATCGTGTACGATCATCGTGAATACTCATCAATATATCCACAATTCAAGGTTATTAGAAGGAAGTATTAGAGATACTTTTACTGTTTATCAAGGGGAATTTATCAGTAATTTATGAGTTGATAATATCTCGTGTTAATCTCTGATAAACGATAAGAAAATTAAAAAGTTATGAAATTTTTAATATTTACACTTTTTTTTCATACAGAAGTTAGTTCTGTGTTTGTATGCTGTAAAATTGATATATGTATTTGCATAAATCTATACACACTTTCATAGATTTCTATTTTTGTTTACACTATACGGTTACACCGCTGATTGATGATATAACTGTGTCGGTAGGTACCCATTTGCAGATTCAATTATTAATTAACGCGTTTTCACCGTAATTCGACATTTACGATTTATGCTAGCAGCATTCGTTTAGATTTAAAACCAAGGTGTTTAGGAAGTCTTATGTTAAAATAATCCCGAGAAACTACGCATTTTATGGCGGTTGTCTTAAGCCACACTTCTACCGTAGATAGTAATTAATTTATTAATTATGGAAATTACATGATGTCATGATGTCATACTCTCAACACATGTCCAGTTAGCATTTAGTGTTGCAACACTTTTTTAGAAATTTCAACTAAAATTTAGTCAGATTTAAAAAATAGTTAACCGACAATAAAAATATTGTTAATTTTGTTTTATTATCATAAGTTGGTTGTAATTATTTTTAATTGGAACATGTAAAACGCTACAATTTAGAGCTGAGACATAATCAATTCGTCTGAAGTGTGGGAAGAAGGGCGTTGGATATACAATGCTGGGAAAATCTAGAGCCTTTTGTGATGCTTTTATAATACCCCAATTAATTTTACAACTCGTCTTTTCGGATCGTTTTGAGGTTTTTAGTGTACGTTTGTATACTTTTTCAATGCTGTGTTGAACTTTTTCTGTTTATCAGCGACTTGTAAACTAGACACACCTTCAGAAACAAATCTAAAGTCAACTTAAACATTGTAACATTGAAGTCATTGCTCTACAGTTGACAAAAGTATAAAGTACAAGTGTATATGTTTACAATTATTATTCTAATGAATTTAATAATGGAATTTGTTCCTTCTCGGCTGGTTGCGCTTCATTTGAATACGAATGCAACCGCAATCATTCATATGCTGATGTGCGCGAGCAGTGCATTTTTCTTCTGCCGGGTTTGCTTAACTTCTTGGTTTAGTGTTTCGTTGAATCATATCTATGCAGATGCGGTTCTATACAAACCAGCTTTACTAGTCAACGGTACTTGCTGCACTCATACACGCAGGTGTAGACGAGGTTTTCCTTGAACGAAATTGTTATTGTGTGCAATAAAGATAAAAAGATATTGCTTGGGGGGAATTTTACTATAAAACGGGATTTAAAAGTTTATAGGCAGACAATTTCAAAATTTGTGATGTGGAAGGGCTTCATCAATAATATATAAATGAAGCGCAAATTCTGTTGGAAAACGCATAACTCAGCAATGCCTGGACTAATCTGGCCAATTATTTTTTTAAAATGTTCGTAAAGTCCAAGGATGGTTTTTACGGCGAGAAAAATTCGAATAATTGCCGGGAAGACTCTAAAGACAACCCCTTTCTATAGGATAAAAGTTGGCATTGAGATTCAATCATAGTTATAGTTAAATAGTTGAATCCGATATGACGCGCTGAAGTGCTTTATTAGTAATTCTTGATATAATTAATTTCTTTAAATAAAATTGCAAATCTTATTGATAGAATTGACACATACCTACTATGTCTAGAACAAGAGAGTAAACACGAATTACATGTTTATCAAACACTACTGGGACGAAGTCGCGGGCAAAAGTTAGTTAACTACAAATGAAATAAATTGTAGATAAATTTGTTTTGACATGAAAATTCTAAATATTTTAAATATTTGTCGCCCTAGGCTTACAGAACTGTTAAGCACCTGCACCTAAACGATATTTTTTCGCCTGTAGAACGCGCTGGTGAAGCAGTAGGCGAAAAAAACTTCCAATTTCTATTTGAATACAATAGCTGATCATTTCATATATAATTTTAAATTGCGAAATAATAACAGAGCAATGTGTCTCATTCGAAATACGCATACCCACGTTGGTAAATTAAGCGATTACTCTTTAACGATTTAATTGCACGCGTGTGTTTTGGGCTGGGCTCAATTATCTTATTTTTATTTCGGTGGAAATGATTTTTGTTTGTTCAGTCCAGAAGTTTAGTATTAGTTTACCTGCTGCGTGAGTTTGTTGATTCGATTCCGATGTTTGCGAAAATTAAAACGCGAATTGCGCGACGATCCCGAAGTACGCACGGTCGTTTTGAGACCATCATCGTCGCGCATAACGAGAAAGCTACAAATGAAAGCAAATGTGAGTACCTGCATACATGACAAATGTCGATAAATAATTATTTATAGGAAGTTAAACTCGCGCGTGCACGCAGAAAAAGTTTCAATGCAAAAGTGCACTTTGCAACACTTGATTTGCATACAAATGATTCAATAAAATAAATAGATAATGTTGTTTTTATTTATTGCGCTGTATAATTAATTTATAACGAGTGCTTTTTTATGTTTTTATAATCAACGTGTGAATTTTATATTGTATTGTGATATTGAAAATAAGATTCAAATTGTTTTTCTTTTTAATGTAATTAAAGAGAAGACAATTGATGCTTAATTGTTGGCGAGTTAAGCGAATGTCATTAGATGCGCAAGTCGAGTCCGTCCGAAAAGAATGCGTAACGCTGCGTGATGTACCATATCGAAGGTCGATAGTCATCAATTCGACTCGGTGTCATCCGTTTGTTTTCCCTTCAAACGTTTCAAGGTAAAACTGATGCTGTGAGAGCAGTGCTTACTTGCTATTGATTATGTCACATTGACAATCATTGTGTGCTTACCTGTGCGTCGAACATGTGATACAGGTCTATAAATAAATGATGATTTTAGTGATTATTTTAAATTACACAAACAATTGATGGAACAATATTGGTAGCGCAGTTGGAACAAAAGAAATGGATATAAAATGACAGTTAAATATCTATAAACGACCTAAGAAGCTTGTAGAATTTGAAATTTAGAATCAGACATCTTTATAATATAAAAATGAATCGCAAAATGTGTTGGTAAGCGCATAACTCCACAACGTCTACACCAATTTGGCCAATTCTTTTTTTAAAATGTTTGTTAAAGTCCAAGGATGGTTTTTATGGCAAGAAAATTTTGAATAATTATCGGGAAAACCCTAAAGACTGCCCTTTTCTATATGATAAAAGTTGGCATTGAGATTCAATCATAGTTACAGTTAAATACATAGTTGAATCCCAGATGGCGCGCTGAAGTGCATTATTAGCAATTCTTTACATAATTAATTTGTTTAAAATAAAATTGCGAATCTTATTGATAGAATTGACACATACATACTATGTTTAGAACGAGAGAGTATAAACGAATTACATTTTTATTAAACACTATCGGGACAGAGTCGCGGGGAAAAGCTAGTCTGACAATAAAATCACTGAATTATTGTTATAATATTGAATTAATATGAATATTTATGGATTTACCAGGAAATATAAATTTGCTCATACATTATAATTCAACTCGTTTATCAGCAATATTCTAGTCTAATTATTTCGTAAAAATCGCTCATATCAAATGTTGAAACACAGCGCCTGCGACGGTTAGCGCCGAGCTTGTTAATTTAATCGGTCAATAAATTTAATTAACTCCTACGCACGTTCGATAGAAGTTGTGGCCAAATGCCCGGCAAATATGTTTAACTGAACGATCAAGCGGCGTTTATACGACCTGCATGAGTGAAGGATTACAAGCGGCAGGGATTAATCCAATCAAACTAAGTAGAGGAAAACTTGTTGTAATAACCAAGTAAAGCAATAAGAACGCATTGATCTAATATGCGGAAATTAACGGGGTGCAGTTTGCCAATTTACCATTTAGCACACTCTAGAAACACTCGATTCATAATAATAACATAAAACCAACTTAAGTTAATTTAGGACGTGTCGTAAGTATTTAATCATTTAATCGCATATTTTCTTCCATATTAAGCCTCGGGATGATAATGACCGCACACGTTCGAGATGCGGTTAATAAAATACAAAAAAATCGCGAATTGCTCAGATCAGAGTCGGAGTCTGCGATGACGTATTCTCCAGAATCGGTCACACTTCCGTAAATGGCGCGCCGGCGGACAGAATCAGGTGGGAAGTCGCGCATGTTTATACAGATTACGTGTTCGATATAAACAAATCTATATCGCTGGTGATGGTGACATTTTATTTATATTGTTTTTTAAAATGATATATGCGTTATTTCAATTGATATCATTTTGTAATTTAAAGTATGATGTCATCGCGGGTGTTTAAATCCTTTCGTAGAATTAATTTACTGCATTGTTTATTGATTATTTAAACAATGTGCAAGTTGATGGTGTCTTCTGGTTTGTTCTGGAAGTGTTCCTCCTCGCCATCTGCGAGACATTAATACGTTCCGATCCCACACGATTGTATAATGAATGAGCTTACACACGCGCGCTCAGGAACAAACAACGGCTCTCATGTGCCAATAAAAAATGCGCTGCTTTCTGCGCACTCGCAGGTGACTGAGGCGAAGTGTGACGTGTTGCAGACGTGGGCTCCAATTAGTTATCGACGGCCATCGAACGATCGACGAAATTTGCCATTTTTGTCGCAGTTGGTGAGCGTTGGCGTCATTAATAAGAAAGCTTGGTGCGAATATTTTTATATTGCTAATGAAAGAAGGTAAAGCAAAGATGGAAACGCATTAAATTTATGAATGAGTTTAATTTTATAAGGAAATTTGTTTTTTTGCTTTGGATATCTGAGTATGTAGGTAATTTTATTCTACATCCTGGTTTGACACAATTTTAAATATAAAAATAATGTGAATTTGTTGTAAAGTTAATTGTTTTGTCAATTTGGTCGCCTCCGAATATGGATTTAATTGCGCTGGTGCTTACGCCGGTACTGGTTTTATAATTCGCGTCTAGTCTTGTTTCTTGCAACGTATTGTACCACTCACACAAATTTCCCGGAATATCTGATGGTTACACAATGTGAAACTATGACGTGCTCGCCGTGCCCGCGTGTGTAACATATTGTTACGCATTGCGGTCTGTCGAATACCTCCATATATGAATGAAAACGAAACTTGTGTAGGATTTTTACGAATGCATCGAAAATTACTTTCTCATGTGATGCACATTGTCTACAAGTAATCAGATGATTTATATTATATTTTTGTCGACTTTGTGCGGCAAAATAAGTTTAACTCTTTTGGGATTTTCTTAGTTGCGTTTCCGTATTAGACGGTAAAGATTCCAGAACATGTCACACATATGATCAGTCAATGAATAGTGCGACCTACAGAAAAGTTTGCACACATAGGCGGACGACCTACCTTGTCGACTCGCCGCCGGTTGAATGCGAGGAGCGAGAGCCGCAACAACAAGAATTCCCATATGCGGCGGGTCCCCCAGATACCCACTTGCGGGCAGGCGCGCTCATTGACTAACGCTCGCTTAGTTGTCCACGACTTGCCTGCGCTCGCGGTGCGCGCCGATATTCTTTCGTTCGCCTTCTTCTTTCTCCGGACCAGCGAAAGCGACATTCCGCGCTCGCGCCGTTTTCCTTTAACGCCCGTGTGCCATTTCTGCCATAATTCATTGTGCCACAAACTGCGAATCTCCGAACAACGACACTGATACAATTAACATAAAATCGAACAATTTCACATGTGTTGCTTGTTTGAATCTTCAGATTTTGCCGACACATGTGATCGTTGAATTCGCAACAATCAATTGCAATTCAATGCGACGAATACATTCCCACGAAAGCTCAACGCAACGAAATTTTTAACACAAATTAAAACTTAAGTTATCAGTGAAGATTTTGTGATTCATCTGGCGAAGGATCACGAAGTCGATTTTGAAATATAGTTTAATATAAAAAAAAGTTCAACAAGTTGATTAATGTGCCAAACGAGAGATGTCATCGACGCAGGCTTACTACAAAGATCGGCTGGGCTTCGACCCCAAGGAGGAGGCGTACCAAGGGCCTAATCAGAAGTACAGGAAGACGGATGCAACGCATCACAAACAGCAGCAGCCGTACGGCGAAGATGTGCAGGACGGTTACGAGTTGAATTTGACTCGGTTTAAAGGTACTACTATCTGGGACTTTTATATTCATTCCAAAGGTACGGTGGCGGGTTCTCCAACAGAGACAAGGCATGTTGACGTTAATCAACACCGTGTGGCCATTAATTATTTATGCTTAATTTTGTGTTTTTGGTTTTACTAGTTCTCTTAGTTTATGAGTAACACGTGGGTCGGATTCAAGCGATTATTGGTCACGCCTGAATGAGCAAACGTTTGAATTCTGTCTGTGGCCGAGCACGAAATTTAACATTCTACATTTACATCCCGAAGTGGTAATTGGGTTAATTTCGATGCTTTACGATTGGTTTAAATCCAAAAGTTTGCATTGAATTACGAATTCTCTTCGTAGTATAACTTGGAGTGGTTTTCACACTTTGTGAGTCAGCAGACGTCATTAACATTTTCATAGCTTAAAAATCTATTGTTTGAGTGGGTCTTTAAGTTTTGTGTTTTTAGAATTTACATTCGGCAAAAATATTGCATTTTTTTTTTGGAGGTCTCAACCAGTTTTAAATCACGTGACGTAATTTATTCACCCCATGCGTGTGTGTGTACACAAAATTCTTTCATTATGCGGTGCATTCCCATGGCATAATAATGCCAACCTTGAATTAGTTAGCTACTTCTTCAACTCGCGATTGTTCAACTATACAACTATACAACGAATTCGTCTCTCATTCAATTTTGTTTTGTTTCTTATTCGCGTTTTCGCTTTTTATTCTTGCTCCATCTCAAGCAACCAGATGTTGATTGTAGTCTGGTTTTTGCGAATTGGCGGCTACTGTTGGCAATCTAGAAAAGTGTACACGTCTGCGGAGCGCATGCTAATTTGTTCTTTAAACAAATGACTTGCGCTTAGGTCAGCGCGCATTGTGCATTTTGATGTTTTTTTCTTCATTGTGTGCTGTCGCAATCGAACAATTAGCATACACGGTGACAGAGTGCAATGTGTCAACATTTGGGCGTTGATTTTTTTTGCACCTTGGATGAACAATTTTATTTTTAGAAAGTGACTTTTAATAAGATTCGTTTGTGTTGTTCTTTAGGTGATTTAAGTCATGGATTAATATTATTCGTAATTGTACAATATTTCTTGCCTACACGGTGTAGAAATTCGATTAAATGTTGGTGCAATCAACCGAGTTTTGAAATAAATTAGGTTTAAATGAATTAAATTTTGAATTAATTGCTTTGAATGCAAGCAGCTCGCGCATTAAATCAGATAGATCGTTGTTTGAACTTTGTACTACGCTTTCATTTATTTACTATAAATAATAACTTTTTATGTATTTGTGTGGATTTTTAAACAATGTAATATAAGACATAATTTACGCTAATATGTTGAATAAAATACTATATTTTATTCACATGTGTATTATATGCCGCTATTTTTATTTTGCATTTTTATTTTGTGTATTTATGAAAATTACTTTTTACAGCAATGAATCAAATAAAATTCTATTTGTGACATTTTCTGATTTCAGACGAACGAGATGCGATCCAAAAGAAAACGTTTACGAAATGGGTCAACAAACACCTAAAAAAGGTAGGTTGTTGTGCTTTTGTTTAATTTTCCATTTGTTTAACGCGTGAGCGTCGCCTCATTCGCTCACAGTCACCTTCGAAAAATTTATAAATAAAGCTAAACAAGATATCGTTTTAATTCTAACCTTTCTCAGGTGTTAATAGCAACTTTGATTAAATATTTTGTTTTCATGTTTATATACCCGTTAAAAATTGATGTTTTGCTTGATTTTTTCAACTTTTTACGAAGAATTTAAATATTACATAATTTAGTTCACCCACTTAGGACGATTTGAATAAATTTTGAGGTTATCTATGTTTATGTTAATTCAGTAGGTAATATTTAATTTTTATATCCATAAAGTATTCCTACTTTTGACACCTTTGAAATTTATGCGCCTGTGATTCGCCAAGGTCAGAGTCGGGCGCATCGAGAGATTTATTTCGATGTTCGACAAGTCGAAACAAAATTGTTGTTGTTTATTAGCTGACCCAACACATGCAGAGAGGACGCACGGCGCCTACTGGAGTCGCCAACGTGTTGTTACATAATGGCGGTAATAAATACAAAACAATTTGCTGCACACGTGTTCATCCACAGCTCTAATTACAGGAAATAGTTACACTTTACTCAATTGCACACAATGCGTTATAATTACGATGCATTCAAGTACAAATATTTTTAAATATTTTGGAATTTAAAACATAAAATAATTGTTATTATCATTTTATTATAATTAATATTCAAAACAAGTTATAGACGTAGATTAAGTCATGTTGAATTTGAAATATGATGTCCAGTTTTTCATCTCTTCAAGAATACTTAATTATCGTAACTTTTTGAACACAAAATGTAAAAAATGGTTTGTTTTGTTCAAGTTGAATTCTCACTTTTACACTAATCGTTCTTAGTTATTTTGTTTTTAACCAGATGGATGAAACTTATGCGAAATGTGCTATTTAGCACAACGCCTATTGAATTTTTCTATTATGAAAATTATGCCAATTTCACCATATAAGTCCACGCCATAATGAAACGATAATAACACACTGTACACGCTCATGCGCGTTAATATGGCATAAATATTAAATTGTTTACATTAATCTCCACCCAAATGGAAATCCATTTATCGATGCACAAAGTGCGTGTTAAGCATATTTCTATTTTAAGATGAAATGTCATCTGTGTAAAATATATTTCTGCGGAAAATTTATTTTATAAACTATAAAATCAAGCAAAACTTTTATTTAAAACAAAATTAAATCGATATTTTTTAGCTCTTTGTTTGCGATGTTTCTTTTTCAGAAATTTCTACATTATGTTGCAACCAAATTGTGAATATTGTTGAAATTAATATTTTCTCTTTCGTTTTTCATGCTTGCGTTTACGTTATGCTCATTAACAGCATTGGAAATATATGAAGGTAACATACATTGACAGTGAGATCACCGCGTGCGCGTATTTCAATTTATTTAAAACATTTATTATACTATGATTTATTATCGGTTGTTAAACTATCGTCTCGTATCATTACTAGTAATTTAAAATGTATTCAAGACGAATTCAAACTGTTAAAATTAATGAATTTTTAGATGGAATTCAAAAAAAACCTTTAATTTTCTTTAAGAAATTTGTGTTTTATAACTTAATTTGAATTTTATTTGATGGGATTAGCTAGTATTTAAAAAATTAACGGGTAGATAGCATATTATGCAGGGGCTCTGTTTTTAACCCGCGCCTCTTCATTAATTGCGTTCCAAAAGCAGAACTGTCAGGCGCGTAATTAGTTCGTGTTGCGCGGCGCTTTTAATTAGTGGCAATGATCAATTGTTTTATGAACATTCCAGAACTACACATGTCTTCACGTGTGTGTCGTTGTGAACAACTCCCCGTGCTGTCCACCTTCCGTAAGTGACGTCGAGTTTGAGTGTTGCACATTTATTTTCGTTTTGTTTAGATGTTTGGAATTTACATGTTAGTGTTTTCTATTTTTTGCTGTGTGTGGTATATTTATTTGATGTATTAGCAGTTTTAACAGCACGTTTGTCATGAAAGAAAGAACGCAGGAATTTCCGTTTTTATTCGTATTCTGTATCTGATTTAAAAGTCGTGTTGGAAATGGTTTAACTTTTGGAACGTTTGTCTTTTTGCAGGCTGGCAGGCAAATCAGCGACCTGTTCGAAGATTTACGGGATGGGCACAATCTTATCTCGCTGCTGGAAGTGTTAACTGGCGAACAACTTGTAAGTTATCTTTTAAAAGTTAAAAGACATGCAAATACACGATACTTCCTGAACCTATCTGTTATAAAATAATTGTTTTTATGTTGAAATTTGCGTCACTAAATGATTTATGTTTGCTATTCCGTCAGGATTATTTTTTGTGGTATTTTTATTTGTTATTGTGTTGTAAGCTTTTTTTTACACTGAATCAACACAATTTATTTTTGTAAAATAAAATTTTTGCGTTGTTCTGGGTGATTAATGAAGTGAAAAGGTCATAATTGTTAGTTTAATTGATTGTTTTTTGTTTGTTCTTATTTAATAGCCGCGCGAGAGAGGTGTGATGCGATTCCATATGCTTCAAAACTGCGAAACTGTTTTGCACTTCCTGTACTGCAAGAAGATCAAGTTGGTAAACATCCGGTCTGAGGACATTGTGGACGGAAATCCCAAGCTCACACTCGGACTCATATGGACCATCATTCTGCATTTCCAAGTAAGTGTTTACTTTATATCCCCGGTTAGTTTTACAGTCATCGGTTTTTCGTTATTCCTTGGAGACAAAAAAATATTATTCATTAGTAAATTCGAAGATGCGTGGGCTGAAAATTATTCCGATTCATTTAAATAAATAATAAACCTCTTTGCATAGACAAAAATCAGTTGTACGTTGAATTAATTATGAATGAATGGCAAATGCTGAAATTAAAACACATAAATTCGTTTCGTTTGCCTAATAATTGTTATAATTTGTTAACGCTACACCGCTACACGTGTTTTGTGGGTAGAACGGACTTAAGGTAAGTCAGTTATTCTTAAGCTGACTTTAAACTTCATATCATCATTGCGTGCGCGCGCACAGCAACCTACAATGGTTCACTTGCATTCTACAATAGATGGCGGGTCTCTGCCGCAATGCGCAGTGTTTTTATTTTATTTTCAAAGCACCATTCATGAATCGGAATGAATTGCGTGCGGCTGGAAGACAAACAAAGTCCTACGCTTTTTTATAAATGCAAAAAATAATCAGGCTCACACTGTCGCGTTTCACCTTACGTAATATCACGGACAGCCGCTTAAGGTAGGCGGGCAGGTATCGGACAATTTTAATTGTTGCGAAAAGGCGAGGGGGCAGTCGCGCCGCGCGCGTTAAATTTGGAAATGTCGACTGTGCTTTCATTCATGTTTACGAATGTGAAAAAAATCGGACACGCCGGGCGCGCTTCCCACGAAAATCGGCGTATATCGACCATATGGTCGTGGTTGCGTATTTTTATTTTATTTATTTGCGGTCGGATTTTGAATTGGTGGCAATTTTGACAATAAATTGTTATTTTATGCGTGATCTTTTTACTATTGTTTATTGCCAATGATTGCTGTGGCTATTGGTAAACACTGGTGTGGCTTGTGTGAGTGTGTCACGACGTGCTTAGGAATTTCTTGCTAGCAACTAAATGGTGATTAGTGCTATAGCTCAGAACAACACATATTGCATAATATCTGCATCAGATATGAATATCTATAATATAAAAATCAATCGCAGAGTCTGTTGGTAAGCGCTTAACTCAACAACGCTTAGACCAATTTGGTCAATTCTTTTTTTTAAATGTTTGTGCAAGTCCAAGGATGGTTTTTACGGCGAGAAAAATTCAAATAATTGTCGGGAAAGCCCTAAAGACAGCCCTTTTCTATGAGATAAAAGTTGACATTGAGATTCAATCATAGTTACAGTTAAAAACTTGATTCAAGTTTTTGTATTTGTTCTCTGAAAGTCTTAAATTTAAATGTCATTGTGAATTATTTCACTTACAGTGAAATTTTTCTCGAAAACTTTAAATATTTTTAACTTCACATTAAATTGATATCAGCTCTGATTTCTTGCACAATTTACAACACGGACAAAACACGAAAACACAATTAGTATTTGTTACAAACCGACACAATTCAATTCATCATTGTGCTCGAACAACGTGCAATAACAATGGCAGCAGAGACGTTGAAAACGTAAAATTTGTTGGAACGAAATTCTGCTCAGGCTTGTAGGTGTACTCATAGCGAACAATGTTTAAACAAACAAAATGATACAATATTACAAGAGAGTAAAACATTTGAAAGAATCAATTCGATCATAGATAATAATAGATTCCATCAACACGAAATCAAATTGATTAATTGAAGTTCGTTTTTTTCCGACTCTGCATGACGGCAGACATCTGAAAGCATAACCGTTAATTTTTTGAAGTCATTTCGTTGTTGCGAAGTGACAGGAAACGTGAGTCTTGAAGGCACGAGAGCAGACCAGATTCTTAATGAGTGATGTCATTTCCGGTCATCGGAATCGTATTTGAATATTATTCATTGTTAATTGTTTAAACTGCGTTTTTGCGCTTACCTCAAGAGGAAATCCGCAAATAAAACTTTCAACACTTTTTCAATATCAAAACTATTTTTACAATTAGTGATGAGCTTATTTTTATTGACTTAAGAAAAAAGTCTTTAGGTTAAATTGCTGTGCTTATTTGCTTAATTACGTGTTGAGTCGTTTGTTTAAATTACGCGAGGCTAACACATGACAAGAACTCTGATACGACGTTAACAACAATGGATGCTTGAGACAATCGACATTATTAAGTTTGTGACAGGCAGACAACAACGGCGAATTTACAGATGGCTAGCCTAGCATAGAATTATTTCATGTACATCTTTCTTTAACAACAACGAAAAATATTTTTTCATTTTACGAGTACATGTGCTCCAGTTCTGAGCATTTACACAAGAGAATTACGTTTGACATGTTTTCTGCAGTATAGCACGATGCAGATCGTATAATAGCATCCAAAACAAGAGAAGTGCAGTTGTAGAAGAGTTTCACTTTCTAAATACATCTCTTAACCTTTAAAGTAAAATTTAATCGCAAGATGGTGGTGCTGTATTTATTGTTTGTAACTGTACATCGCTCGCGCGCATAATCAGACGATATTATACAATAATTTGTGTTTCGTTTCACCTGTGCTACCGTGCATCACATCGAGTGTTGTTTGGTGTGCGCCGAGCGGAAGTTAAATGGGCAGGTAACCGGAAACACCACTTGCGTTAAATAAGGCACCGGTTTTTAATATACAGAGTGTAATAATAATTTTTTTTTGAAAAATAAATAAATAATAGTAATTAAACTGTTTTTGGTATCGATTGGATATCCGAATGGAATAGAAATGAAATGACGACACGTGTGTATTAATAAATCGATAAATATATGTCGCTGGTGACCATATTTAGCGGTGCAAAACAATTTCGAGGCGAACAAACGAAAAAACAAACAACAAATGCAAAGAATAATAGATATCGGCGTGTTTTGCTGGAGAGTTTTACGGAGCACAGTCCGTAGGCATCGGCGACGCCTCCGTACGGCCCTGGATCCTACTTGATTCGTGGCTGAGTCGCTCCGCTAAGCGCTCTTCGCGACCGCCGCCTCGCCCGCGAATCATGCAAGCGGCAAGCCGCGGCTGCTTACTGCACGCTGGTCGACGCTCACCTCAGTGCTCACCTGGCGCACCACCTGTAAATACCAATCGCGCCGTCGCGCATATATTCGTGTTCCGTATTCCTGCCGTATTCAAACACATCGATTTTCTGTTGCCATAGTTACCGAACAACATAATCACCACAAGCGCGACTAATATGTAATAAATAATTTAATAATCTCAAGTTTGTGTTGTGTGTTGTTTGAAATATAACTGTGTGAAATTGTGCATTTGGCATAGCTGGCGAAAATATCATGTCGATGTACAAGTTCAGCAAGGACACCTCGTCGGGTACGAATCGGTTGTACGTGCAGGGCACGCAAGGACCCACCGGTCCCCCGATAGTTACCAGCATTACCGATAATGTTAATCTCGAGGCGAAATTTACCAACAAAAAGTTGAGCACTGAAGTGTTGGGCAGTTCTATTGAGTCCATGCAGACGAGTCGGCCGAGGGAGGATGGTACCAAGCGCATTACAACGCGCATCGTGCGTAAAGTCACCACGCTTACGCGAGGCGAGGAGAAAAGTCACTCCAAGGGGTTGAATAATCGTGCGCAGACCAAGAGTATTCAGTATACGGTCGATGTGGAAGATTTAGGTGTTATAAGACCGAAAAAAGTCAAGGTATTCATTAAATTCATTATTTTTATTAAATATATGAAAGTTTTTAAAATTGACATAAACATTAAATTGATATTTTACTGCTATTCGAAAAAAGTTAATAAATTAATAAGTAGCTATAAATTAAAAATTACATAATTATAACCATCGAAAATATGATTCAATTTGCGAGATAAACACATTATTTATGGCGATGTCCTGCCCAAAGACATTTAAGCCTGAGACACACGCGTGTGGGTGCAGGCGCCCACACTTTTCGCGGCGAATAAGTGCATTAAACAGAAGGTATTTGCCATCGCCATATATTGTCTCTCGACGTCGAGACGAAACTATGTCAATGTCAATTTACATAAAACGCGTTTTCTTCGCCGGATTAAAACGTTATTAATTATATTATGATACACATTACACCTTAACAGTTTCCTTGTATGGAGGCGCGCGGAGAACGTGTTTGCACTTCACACTAGTCATAATGGTTAATGACTAGGAGCGAATCGGGTGTCAATTGAAACATTTCGTTTCAAATTCTTTCCCAAAAAAGTTGTTACAGTCTCTTTTCATGTAGTAGTAGTCGTAAGTTAAAAATAGATATTTTAGTGAGAATTCACCAAAGTATCGGTGATTATTTTTAGATTGACACCATTAGTTTAAATCTTTGTAAGTCGTCGTTTTAAATGTTTCACAATGGAAAAAACTGTCAGATTTAATTGGAATGAAAAATGGTGGCGGTGTATGTACTCTCAATTCAACACTATTTTATTTCTGATGGATGACATCATCCATTTCACGTATTCATCGGTCGTATGTCAACATGCACAAAATGCATGATGTTATGTTTATCAGTTTTTTGCGAATTGATTCTGGCGTTGAGACGTTGTTTTGACTTGTGCTACCTATACAATTGCACAAATCTAATATTTACATAATGCAATGTTTGATTAATAAACTAGCTTCTGAGTATTAATTATACATTCGTATAAAAATCACGAAGCAACATTCTTTCGCGCAAGCATGTTTTATAATTGACGCGAGTCAAACTCAATCTCAATCACGATTACTACTACTACTACTACAATGAAGTCGTGCTGATCTTATCGTTTGTTTTTATTATACATTAACGTTATTAAAATGAGCTCGCAGTGAACTTGAAATGAACTCCAATGGTTTGTTATGAATTCCTAAGTTATTGTTCTTTTTTAGTATCAAATTTTTAATTGATATGTTTAGTATAATGTTTACATTTAAAATGTAAATGCAAGACACGAAATGAGCTAATTTATAAACAAGATTTTAGAATGTTAAAGATGATGTTTGTGGTGAAAATTTAACGGTAATTCAAAGCGTTGTGTGGGAAATTGTGTGCCAAATTAAAAAGCTTAGTTCAACTGCGCTATTAGCCCTGCGTTTCGAAAGGCCGCCAATTGATTCGAAGCGTCAATTGCCCACCATTAACCCAAAGACAAAGTGCAAGCATTCATAACAACAGCTTTAACAAAATAGATGACTATGGGAACTCTCTTGAGAACGTCTGTGCTATAATACTGTTAATGGCATCTCAGGAATGCCAACAACTCCTCTTAATTTAATTAATCTGTTGTGCTGCGGGCCACATTGAGTGATCAGCACTCGAATTTTTGGCGTGGCAGTTGTTCTATTTCGCAATTGACCTTTTTTTTCTCTTCAGCCTCTTCACGCTTCGTTTTACATAACTCAGATGCGTATCTCTTTCACGAACTCGTCGACGCAAGCTCACGAGTTCTGTTTCTTTCATTTTTTTGTTTAGTGCATTGACTATTGTTTGCCGGTTAAGGTGAAGTTCATAACACAGCATTAATTCGCGTTACAGATTTCCGATATCGTCGTCGGCAATGAGCAGAACATTTCGGCACGGGATTACTTGCTGCGATGGGCGAAGAAGACGACGCACAAGTATCCCGGCGTGCGAGTCAACGATTTTACCAAGTCCTGGCAGGATGGACTTGCTTTCACTGCGATCATCCACCGTAATCGGCCGGATCTGATTGACTGGAGGCAGGCGCGACAACAGCATGCTCGTCAGCGCATGGAGACCGCTTTCTATTTGGCAGAAAAGGAGTACGGAGTTACCAGATTGCTCGATCCTGAAGGTAATTACATTTTTTGTTTTGATTTAAGTAACGTTTTATTAATATTTTATGTTTTGATTAATTTTAGATGTGGATACTCATGAACCTGATGAGAAATCACTCATCACATATATTTCATCCCTCCATGAAGTATTCCCAGAGCCACCAGCGATCCATCCGTTGTACGACGCGATGGCTCAGCAGAAAGCTCAGGAATATAGGGAACTGGCTTCGTCTCTGCATTTGTGGATGAGGGAGAAGACTAGTTTAATGCAGGATCGATCATATCCGAACAACTTGATCGAAATGAAAAAGCTGGCTACGGAATTATCGCGATTCCGCAGTGAAGAATTACCACCGCGACAGCGCAATAAACATCACCTCAACCAATTGTTCCGCGAATTGGACAAATACTTTAAGACAATTGGTGAGATCGACATCGAACCCGAATTGCAAATCGACACGATCGAACGCAATTGGACGCGCCTGATGGTGGCGTACCAAGAGCGCGAACGATTCGTGAATGATGAAATTAAGCGTCTGGACCGTCTGCAGCGTCTCGCCGAGAAAGTACATCGTGAGATCAAGCAGACGGACGCGAATCTGGACGTTATCGAACGACATATTGACGAAGAATCTAGGCGTATTGATCGCATGCATCCACTGGAAGCGAAGCGCATTGCTGACCAACTTGACGCTGATCTGACGAATGTTGAAACAACTATTCAGTCACTTATTACCGATGTGCATACACTTATTAATGGAAGGTATCCGCAAGCTCCTGATCTAGAGAAGCGCGTGAAGAAGTTACATGAGCGCTGGGTGTCGATGAAACACTATATGATTCGCAAACTGGTTGAGCCGTTGGCGAATATCAGTTTCCCGATTGAGGAGCGCACTGTCACCAAGCACATCCGTACTGTGCAGGAGACGAGAAATGTGGACACCAATCCGCATTTCCGTAGCCTGCAGGAGGCCATTGAATGGTGCAAGATGAAGTTGAAACAACTGGTGGAGGCTGAGTATGGATCTGATCTGGCGTCGGTTCAGCACGAGTTTGATATCCACCAGAGGGAACATAAACAAGTGGATAATTTCCATGCCAAGGTGGATGTTTGCGTTAAGGGGCGTCAGTACTTTGGCGGAGAGGAGTTAATTTTGTACAATCAACACTTGAGCACTCTGCAAAAAGTATACACCGAGTTGGTTTCCGAATCCAACAATCGCATGAGTGAATTGGATAGTCTGCTGGACTTTATCAAGTCAGCCACCAACGAGTTGCAGTATCTCAACGAGAAAGAAGAAATTGAAGTACTCAGGGATTGGTCTGATACGCAAATGAATTTGACAGCTGTTGAGAAGTACTACGAGGTGAGTTTTTAAATTTTTTGTTTGTTAGACAATAAAATAATCTGTTTCGCATACGTTAATGCAGCTAATTTATGGGAGTGGCGGAGAGGTACGATAACTATAATTATTTTGTTTAAAATTTATTTGATAGAACGTTTAACTCAATTAAACTTTGATTGCAGTCATTGATGAGCGAATTAGAAAAGAGAGAAATCCAATTCGGGTCTGTGCAAGACCGTGGCGAGAGCCTAGTGTTCCAAAATCATCCAGCGAGCAAAGCTATCGAAGCGCACATGTCGTCCATGCAAGCGCAATGGGCGTGGATCTTGCAGCTCACGCATTGTTTGGAGGAGCATTTGAAAAACGCTCAGATCTACCAGGATTATTACAAGAATGTAGCACAAGCCGAAAAGTGGCTCAAAGAGTGAGTTATTAATTTACCAGATAGTTTTTCCTTTACTTTATAAACATGATTATTGCAGCAAAAACGACACGCTGAACAATGAATACAGTCAAAGCGAATTCACATTGGACCAAGGTGAGCGCTTGTTGCAAGGAATGCAGTCATTGCGTGACGAGCTCAACGTGTTCGGCGACACTGTGCAACAGTTGGCCGCGCGTGCCGAGGAAGTAGTGCCATTAAAACTACGCAGACAGCCTGTGACGAGGCCCATCACTGTCAAAGCACTCTGCAGCTATAAGCAGAACAACGTAAGTGAAAATATAATTATAGTTTGACTGGATAATCGTTTATCTGTAAAAATGTAATGCAATATGAATTTTTTAAAGAAAAAAACATTAAATTCAAATTGAAGAATATTCATTTAATTTTTAGTTTGCCATGGAGAAGAACAAAGAATGCACTTTGACTGATAATTCTGGTCGCATTAAGTGGAGAGTGCACAACGATAAGGGCGTTGAATGTCAAGTGCCAAGCGTATGCTTTGTCATCCCTCCTTTGGATAAGGAAGCGCTGGACGCTGCCGACCGTCTGAGGAGACAATACGATATGACTATTCAACTCTGGCAGAAGAAACAACTGCGCATGAGGCAGAATATGATTTTCGCCACCATCAAGGTAGTTAAGGGATGGGATTTGGCGCAGTTTATTGCAATCGGTGCCGAACAACGCAACGCAATCCGTCGTGCCCTTAATGACGATGCCGATAAACTTTTCGCTGAGGGCGATCCATCCGACCCGCAGTTGCGGCGTTTACGTCGCGAGATCGATGAGGTTAATCGCCTGTTCGACGAACTCGAGCGACGCGCCAGGGCCGAAGAAGAGAGCAGAAATCAGACGCGCATTTTCAACAGTCAAGTGAGCACTTTGCTGCAGGCACTTGACGAAGCTGAGAGGATCATCAATCAGAGAGTTATTGCGCATCTGCCAAGAGATATAGATTCACTGCAGCATTTGGTCCTGGAGCATAAAGAATTTGCGTCACGTTTGCAGAACTTAGAGGTTGAAATAGACCAAGTGAAGGACACGTTCAGAAGCATCACGTTAAAGACACCACAGCACAAGAAAGATCTTGAGAAGGTGATGAACAAATGGAAGAACATTTGCAATATTAGCAACTTGTACATTGAGCGCCTCAAGTGTGTCGAGATTGTTCTCACCGGAATGGAGGATGCTTCTCAAGTGATTAGCGATTTTGAAAGGAAACTTGCACTCTTCCACGAGCTGCCAAATTCACGCAAGGCGTTGGAAATGGTCCACGATGACCTCTTGAAGCTGCAGTCTGCAGCTGGCCAACAACAGATTGCCATGGATCAACTCAATGATGACTTTGATAATACGCGCCGCTTGACTGAAAAGTCTAGGCCGAACCATCGCGGTCCGCATAATGACGTCAAGCGTCTGGATGAAGACATTCAAAAATTGAACAATCGCTGGAGCAACGTTTGCGCCCAGCTTGCAAAGTCATTGAACGCCGTCGAGCAGGCATACAACTTATTAAAGAACTACAAGAAGGCCAAGGAAGTTGAAGATGAATGGATTGAAGAACAGTACACCAAGTTGGAGACGATGCAACCGTTGATGCACAAACCTAAAGACAATTTAGAAGCGACCCGAGTAAGTAACAAGGGGTAACCGATACGGTGTAGAATATGAAGATTATAATTGATTTAATAACTAAAAACTTGTGCACCAGACCAGAGGTGTTGAGTTTCACGAAAATTACGTACACGTTGTTTGATGGGGGGAGGTGGGTTAGATCGGGGCAAGTGTGGGCACAAATATTGTAGAAGTTTGAACATACACCAAAGCACTGGATGGACTAATAACTAATCCGTAATACCACTAAATTATTATTTCCAGAATCTTCTAAACACTGTAGTAGAACGTGCACCTAACATAGAGAACGTCAACGACAAGGGAGGCCGCTTTATCCGCGAAGGAAAGGTAATTATTGAGTCGAGATGCTGACTACATTATGAAACATGATCATTCGTGATACATACCACACAGATAGAGGTTTGTAGATCAATAGATCAGAGTAGGGAAAACATTAGGAGATATCAGGGTGGAAATACTGAGTGAATGTGATGGATGTGTGAGAGGGAGAGATGTACACACGTGACATTTACACACACAGATAGTGACAGCGTCGCTACTTTTACTATTTTCAAAAATTTAAACTTTTAAAAACTTTTTCTTCTCAAAACTATTTCGGGGCTTTTCTTTGGATTGTGGTCTTATACCTTTTACATGTTTTCATGCATTTAGACTTGGGATAATTTAAAATCTCACTACATTAAAACATCACCATTACTATCAAACTTATTTCTACGTCCCACTGCAAATTAGAAAAACTCTATTTCTTCTCACTGGTTACATTTAATATTATTATACATACTCGTACACTATATCACGATATATCACTGCTTTCGTAATTTCAACTTACCTGGAGCACTAACCTTGCTTAACCAACTATCTAACCCTTAACACTAGATATGGAGCAAAGCTCTGCAACGCTTCCGCGAACAAATGCTGGAGTTTCAACCTTCGATGGACGCTGAGCTGGCGATGCAACCTAACATTGGACCAACAGGGGCGGATGCTACCGCCCAAGAACTGGAGCAGTTTAACGCCAAATATCAGTACATCGTGGATACGATTTACGGCCGGCTGCAGGAGATCGCTGCCAAATGCCCCGGTGATATCGTCACTCTGGTGAGTAGCATCATGCTTTATTTACACGTTGATATGATAACTTCCTGAGTCAATATTTACTCGTTGCTGCGCGAGGAAATTTTCTAGAGCGTTGAAAAACGCGACAATATTTCAAAATTGCATCATTGCAAGAAACCGAATGGTGTCATGGGGTATTTATAGCAAAAACCGGTTACACTAATGCTGCCTTGTGACAGAGAATAAAGCATTCGAGTTTGATTGCTAGCATCGACAATATCATACATATAATTGGTCAATAAAAATGTAAAATGAGCATGAATCTAGTTTTAATTACAAAATTTTTAGATAAGCTTAATAATGATCAATTGTACATGCACATACAGGTAGAAGTAGTGTTAATTCATGACCGTGGGTGAAATTATGACATCAGCTTGCAAACACGTCAGCGAACAAATACGCAGAATTTTGCTTGTTGATCATACCAACTTTAACAAAGTGCCATTTAGCTGCGATTCAAATGTCGTTCGCATATTTAATAAAAATGAATGAACGTTTGTTGTTATTTTATTACGAGGTTACTATAAATGTTCTTCAACTTGAAGCGACACATATAAGATCAGTTTTATTTATAGAGTACTTTACACTCGAGTGTTGGCAGATAAAATTTACATATTTTTTTCTATAACATATTACATCGCGCGTGTGGCGCTGGCGGTGCTGATTTATCACATTGATTAATATTTATGTATTATTCAATTGATGACTTCACCCATTTAATTATTCGTATTAACATTTAGTTTGTTTATGGCGCTTTTAGATCATTCATTGAAGTAATTATGGGATACGTGATTCATTTGCATAATTTTGAAAATATATATATTATATAGTTTCTTGGAATTTGATAGTTTGATATAAAATCGAATTTGTGCCAAGGTTTATTGCTTACATACGTTTGCACAAGTTTGGTAAGTTTTTGAATTCATAATTCGTAAAATTCCAAGAATTTCGGCTATTTTCGAAGATAAAAAATTAACTAAAAGAAAGATTTATGTTTTGTGCCAAAACATGACTTTCACTAGTTCAACCTTCACGTAATATTTATGCAATATCATGAATTTTGTGACTATTTTCTGATTTTGGCGGTGTTTTGAACAAAGTTGGCATTAAACTAAACAAAAATCCGTTCTGAACTTGAATTTCCCCGTCTGGGCACCACATTTATTAACCTAATTGGTTATTTTTATATTTACAAATTGGTCAAATGGTGTAAACTCGCGATGTCTATTCTAATCCCATTAGACGATTAGACGAATCAAGCGCCTTTAACTCAAACGCCGCGAGTCGCATCGGCGGCGATCGGTTTTTGTGTGACTCGCGGCGCTCCGTTGCAGGTTGGGGCAGAGCCATGTGATTCGCGTGCCTGCTGTTTGTGTCCTGCTCGTACAGTCAGTACGCTGACGATGCCGGCGAACGTGTAAGCTACAATCGCGCCGCGGATCGAACTTCTCAAGGCGTACACACACCGCGTGTGCAATATGTGCGCTCAAAAAATACGATGATAATGCGGCTCGTGTAATCCGTGTCTAATTCGCGTGACAATTGTGACATTGCGCCGAGATAAGGAATACGGTGCCTCACGATGGATAATTTTAAGGCAAACTTGCACAAGCATTGCTTTACCAATGAGCTGGCGAACATACCATGGGTAAATAAATACCGCAAAATTCAAAAAAATGTCAATCTTATCGCGTAATCTTGTCATTACTTAATATTTTATCGTACCTCAATGTTTACTTTGAAAAATAAACCACTAGAAATGATATTAATCATGCGGCGGCATTTATTTTATGAGCTCACATTTAGGTAGCCGTAATATTTATTTTTAACCGCAAAGTTGGGTCATTCATGGTGGATGTGATGATTGAAACTATTGTTAAATTTTTTGGAAACCTGCGCGAAGTTGACGTCATATCGACATCAGCATCGACTTAATATGTTAATCAGCGGCGTGTTTGTTTCAATGTCTTGCGTTGAGTGTTTACACTCTCATGCCGATCGCAAGTTGGCTCATTAATTTCGTGCGCTTTGAATCTTCACGGTTTATCCTTGACTTACGAGGGGAATGTCTTGACATTATTAATCTTGCGAAGCAACCGAGCATTGCGTTTTTATTGCTCATGACTTATTTATGTAGGTGGCATACAAATGACCAACAATTTGTTGTTTTGCTCATAAATATACACCCAACACTCTCGTATTATTAATCGAGGTTTTTTTTAATTAGTATTTTTTGTGGTTGTTTTAATTAACTAATTGTTAATTATAATAGGATGATATCATAATTTGCATTTAATAAAAAGCGTGTTTTTTTTTTATTATTTTGAAAAACATTTAAAAAACTTAAAACTTAATTTACAGAGACTCGTGGAGAGTATGCAGCCAGCACCCTTCAGAACCTACAAATCAGAATTCCACATGAGCTCCGGCACTGAACACACTTCAACATTTACGACTACCACTCACTACAGCAAGCAGTAAGTGCATTTTTATTTTAATTCTCCTAGCGGACCCCCCCCCACCTATATGTTACCAATTAAACCAATTTACAGATATGTGAAAACGATGAAAATTGAAAACGGTGCGCATGATACAAGCATCGGCGATCATGTCGATAACGTACGCAACGGCCGGTCGCACGATAAATTCACATCGAAAACGCATATTACTCCCGAAACCACCCCCATGGAAACAATTCACTCACTGAAACGCGTTCACAAACAAACGGAAGATATTATCTCCGATCCGATTATTCATACGGCCGGTATTAAGAATCCGTTCACCGGTGAACTGATAAGCATCAGCGAAGCGATCGCTGCTCGTATTCTCGACGTGCGCACCGGTAAGGTTGTCGTGCGACCGGATGGCACGCAAATGACCATCGATGAAGCGAAGAAGATCGGTATGATTGAGCCGCTCATCGCCGAAAGATTGAACAGCCCTTGCGGGATCAAGGGCGACGGGCAGAATAATATGACACTGCTGGAAGCCATACAAACAAAGATCTACGACGCCGAGCATGGCTCGCCCGAGTCCAACGAAAAGCGCATCAAGGTAACTCTCTTGCCTACTACGTCTAGTGATGATGGACGTTTTGATTTGGCGTCGGGAAATTATAAGCTTAACACTGGCGAAGTTATTACAACGAAACAGGCTTTCCAACGTGGTTATCTCACCACGCATATTACCAGTCGGCTTGAAGCTGGAGCAGTGTCCTTGTATGATACGTTGAATCGCGGTTTGGTTGATGATAAAACAGGTTGGGTGGTTGATCGACTTTCCGGTAATAAATATCAAGTTGACGCGGCGATCAAAACAGGTGTGTTGGACGGTGAAGTGCGAGAAATTGTCGATACGAAACACGATAACAAAATTACTCTTTCGCAGGCGTTAGAAAAAGGATTAATCAATCCTAAACTCGGGAAATTCATTTTCAATCACGAGAAGATTTCGTTTGCTGAAGCTAAACGACGTCAATTAATTATCAAGCCTTTAACTTTGATGGACGCGTACGATTTGCGATTGTTGGATTCGAATGCGAAAGTTTGGTCCCCGGCGCATAATGAAAAATTATCCATTCCGGAAGCGATTGAGCGTGGTGTTTTAGATTCTAACACGATTCAATCGGTGTATAATGTTAGTACTGACGAGTTGTTAACATTGCACGATGCAATTGAAACAAAAATTATTATGCCGATTGAAGGTGTGTATGTTAACAATGTTTCTAATGAAATTATTCCGATTCCGGACGCGATCAAACGTGGTTATATCTCGACGCTATTACAAAAATCAATCTTTGATATTGACGGTTTCCAATCCCCCGATAAATCAGGTTATATTAGTTTTAACTCTGCGAGCGCAAAGGGTTATATTAGCAAAAATTACGACGGTAGCTTAGTGACGAATTTGAAGAGCGGAAAGTTGATTCCGTTCGCGGACGGTGTTAAATCTGGCGAAATAAAACCGGACGTGTACGAAATGCTTACGCGAAAAATTGGCGTTCATGAGGACGGACGCGAACTCACCGTCCTTGAAGCGTTGTTTAAGGGATACATCGATCCCAAGACTGGCAATTTTATTGACATTCGCAAAAATCAAGTTGTGCCTTTAAATCAAGCGATTGCGGAGAATCTGATCACCTCCGAGGGTGCTGCGCTGCTCAATTCGTTGCTGACGATTTACGTCAACAGTCGCACGACGGCGCTCTCGGTTAGCCGGTACGCGTCAGTGGTGGTCACCGCGGGCCTGCCCTACGAACAAAGTATTATCACCTATACCGAAGCCCTCCACCAAGGCCTTATCGATAACGACAATCAGACTTTCTACGACCCCGAGACAAATCGTCGCATCCCGATAGTGCAGGCAATCTGCGAGAAGAAATTAGCGCCGGACACAGATAAAATCAAGCCGTCGGCGTCGACAGGAGCATATCCGAAAACTAGTATTTCGCCGGTAGGACCTACTATCGAAGTGGTCAAGTTGCCACATGATGGTTGGCTATTATCAGACGCAATTAGACAGAATTTGTTTGATCCCGTTACCGGTTTGTTTACAATTCCTGGCACGGATAGATTAGTTAGCTTTGAGGAGTGTATTGTTCTTAAAATTGTTAGTTCCAAATCGGCTGTTGTTGTTGATCCCGTTACGAAACGTCGCATTTCCATTACGAAAAGTCTGGAGAAAAAAGTTTTGGATAGTTTAGGCCAATATCTCTTAGATGGCAAACGCATATCAATGAAAGATGCGATTACACAAAACTTAGTCATTTTAGAAGAAACGATTATTGAAGTCGATTCTAGTCAACGCCATTTACAAGTCACTAAGAAACCGGGTAAGCCCGACAAAGTTGAAGTTTCTCATGTTACCGATAAGGATACACCACAGTATGTCGAGATTAAAGTCTCTGAAGGAAGTTTAGAACCTGTGCAATTGAATGATGGAATTATTTATGAACCTTCGAACGCGATGATTATTATTCCGGAAAAGAATACGTCTAAGACGTTGTTGGAAGCAATTCAGGACAATACGATTTCTCCTAAACAGATCAAAATCAAAGATCCTGCCACTGGTGCCGATATAGACTATAACGAAGCGTTGAGACGCAATGTCATTGATAGTAAAACGGGTGATTACGTAGATGCCACTGGTAGAAAAATTAGCTTTACTGACGCGGCCAAATTTGGTTTACTCGCAATAGCTGGCGCTCCTTTGCTTGCTGTGCAGTCTACTATACAAATGGTGAAGAAATCGATCATTATTGATTCGAAAACAGGTGAACAAGTGCCAATGGAAGAAGCTTTAAGGCGCGGTATTATTGATAAGACGAGTTATGACAAATATCAAACACAGGCGTTGATTAATAGCGAAAAGGCGCCGGTTAACGCTCGCTTAACCAAAATTATGGTTACGGATCATAAAACAGGAGAAACTTATTCTGCGGAAGACGCTCTCAAGATAGGTTTAATCACGAATCACGAGTTGGACGCTTTGAAGAAAGATTTGCCACAAACGCCGGAACGCACCGAGGTTACATTTAATCAACAACAGACTAATATTTTTGTCACTGATCCTAAAACGAGGCGTTGCAGTTTCCTCAGAGGAGGCGCTAGCAAAGGGCATTTTACACCAGATGGATTACCTAAACTTGCCGCGGAATCGAGTATTAAAATTATAGATCCAAAGTCAGGTAATATGATTCCTGCGAAAGAGGCGTTAAATAAAGGGTTGATTAATCCCACGGAATATGAGGAATTACAAAATCAGGTTAAAGAACATAGTGATCAGCCGGTAGCTATCACTAAGATAATGATTAAAAACCCACACACTGGTGAGCACGTGCCCGTCGAAGAAGCGTTATCAAAGGGTATCATTTCTCAAGAGGAATATTTAGCGTTGCATGAACAACCAACAAACACCAAAACATTCTCTATCAATAGATTTGTCTTGCAAAATCCGGAAGAAGTCAATACTGCTGAAATTATCGTAAAACATCCGGTGACTGGAGAAGAAATGTCTGCGTCAAAAGCGCTCGAGATTGGCATTCTCAGCGAAAGTATGTATGAAAAAATGCAAACAGAGGTACTACAATCTCCTAGTAAACAATACACGCTTGCTATGAGTCGAATTATGATAGATAATCCGTTAACGGGAGAAAAAGTAACACCAGAAGAGGCGCTCAAGATGGGAATTATTACTAAGTCAGTTTATGATAATTTAGAGTCAACTCCTAGTCCAGTAACACAAATTACCTCAATCAAAAAGTCATGATCACTGATGAAACAACAGGAAAAACACTGCCTGCTGAAGAAGCATTGCAACAGCAATTAATCACGCCTGAGCAATATGCACAGTACATGGATGAGTCAAGCAAAACACAACAAAAGATTTACATTAAAGATCCGCAGACAGGAGAAAAACTTCCAATCGAGGAAGCTTTGAATCGCGGTTTAATTACACCTAAACATTATGAGCAATTAATAACGCCCGAGTATGAAAACATGTCGGAAGGTGATAAAACAAGAGCGCGTATTACGGTCGAACCAAAATTCCAGGTGATGATTGGTAAAGCTACTCTCTCACCAGAGAAAGAACCTCAAAGGGTAACATTGCAAAAGTTGCGGAAAGTTGTTGTTAATCCAAAGCAAGCTGTGGAGAAAGGTTTGATGGATCAGGATACTGCAAATTTATTAGATAACACCGGAATTTTCAAATCAAATGATGGCGGGTTTCTAAATTTACAAGAAGCACTTCAAGCGAACAAACTTGATGGTCAACAAGGAAAAATTATTGATTCACAACGCGGTGATGTTTTAACAATAAACCAAGCTATAACTCGCGGTATTTTAGATCCTACCGGTACGAACGACATTTTGATTCCGTTGAATAAGAGTCTATCAGTTCCGGAACTGTTCAATCAGGCATTAATTGATCCACCAACTCGAAAGGTTATCCATCCTGAAACAGGGGAGCACCTCACTTTGAAACAAGCAATTTTGTGTGATATTGTTGATCCATTGAGCAAAGTAAAAGCACCAGGCGGTAAAATCACAATCAATGACGCGATTAATAAAGGTCATATAGATGATGAGCATTTGGCAGTAAAAACACCTAAGGGTTCAATTGATTTCAAAAATGCAATAGATCAGAACGTTTTTGATAAAAATAACAAAGTTGTGAAAGATATGCCACCGGCTGGATTGACATTCCCCGTGGCTCTGAAGAGAGGTTTAATCGATGTAGACGCTAAAACTTTCCATCACCCTATTACGAACCAAATCATTCCTATTGCCAAGGCAGTTGACGATAATTTGCTCATGAGTTTGCCCTTCCAGCCTCATCCGGAGGTTGTAGAACTGTCGGATGCATTAGATCGGAAATTAATTGATCCTGTTAATTGTACGTTTACCCAGCCGAACAGTAAACAAGTTTTTACTGTAGACGATGCAGTAAAGACGGGATTATTAGCGATTAAGCCTCTTTCCAGCTATGCGGACAATCCTATGACCCTAGTTACCGAGACACCTATGGAAACTTCCATTCATATTGTTACCACCACGTCAATGGAAATCTTAGCTGGCTATTCCATGCCTAATGCGAGTCAAGTACAAAATATGCAAACTGGTGAAGTTATCTCCCTCGAGGAAGCCAAACAACAAGGGATTATTGTAGACATTAAAGAAACTCAGAATAAGACCACTATGCAAGGCGTGAAGATATCTTTTACGGATGCATTGCATAGGGGTCTTGTAGATATGAACGCAGGTACTTATCGCGATCCGGTTAGTGGGCAGGTAATGCCAGTTGGCAACGCAATTCAAGAAGGTATTATTGAACCAGCACCGCCTACAGAGACTGTCTATGATACTGCAAATACTAGCGATTTGCATATCGACGAGGCGTTCGATAAAATTTACGACGCAAAAACGAACAAATTTCAAGATCCAAATACGAAACAAATGATTACCTTTGCGGAGGCGTTGGAGACCTCTGTGATTGATCCAGCGGCGATGATCTATGATGTAAATGCGCAGAAACCGGTTACGATTGAGCAGGCTGTACAGAAGGGTTTGATTGATGCTCAAACAGGGCAGATAAAGGACCCGAAAACCGGTAGTACTGTTGATTTTAAGAAAGCCGCGAAAATGGGCTTGATTGCAGTCATAGGGGTTTAGCAGCTCCGGTTATTGCAGGCGCTGTTGCGGTTAATGCTATCAAGGAAAATATTAATAGTAGAAAATCTAAAACACCTGAAAAGGAAATCACTAAGACGTCGGCGATTGAATTTGATTCCATGCCGAAAAGTGCAGAAAAACCCAAAGCGCCTGAAAGGAAAAAGAAGGGTAAAGTCGAGAAAGACCCGACAACAGATGTTATTCCGGTAGAAACGGTGACTCGCGCAGTGGAAAATAAACTAACGTCAACTGTTACCACAACTAATACAGAAATAATTGAAGAAGTGCACATAACTGATGGCAAACATCCAGTCAAAGACATTAATTCAGAATTTATTCAAAACGAGTCTGAAGGATTAGGAGATTTAGTACCTTTGAATAAAGCGCCTGAAACTTATGATAAAATGACAGTGGGTCATGCTATCAGCGAGAAATTAATTGTCCCAGAAATTTGTCGCATTACTTATATGGGATCAGTTCTACCAGACACAGTGCAAGCGTCTTTAGATCAACAAGACCTCTCTCTTCAAGATATAATCGCGGTTGAGTCTAACCATAGTGTGATATTGTTTGACGACGCACCCAAATACAAAACTAAGTTAACTCGATCATTGACACCTCAATTGTTAGCTGAATTAGGGTTTTATGACTTGCAGCGTTTGTGCTTTATCGATCCAAAGACAGGCGAGAAAATATCATTCTGCGATTTGTTTGCTTTGCAAGTTTTAGATCCGGAAACAGTATTTATCATTGATCTTGCAAAACGTAAACCCACTTATTTGCCTCTGCATGAAGCTTTAGATAAACCTTTGATTGATAAAAACACCGGGCATATGGTTGATAGAAAAACAGGAAAACGCGTTCCGTTCTTTGATGCAATTCAAGCGCGTTGGATAATTCATTTTGATGATCTCCCGAGAGACGATCAGTATGAACCGTTGACACTGGAGGAGATAGTAGATTCCGATGATTTTAACGCGGAGAAAGTCGAGGTGAAAGATCCTCGGACGGGCGAGATATTATCGTTGAAGGATGCGTTGGCTTTGAAAGTGATTGATCCTAAATCTGTGACAATTCGAGATCCTAAAAACATGCAGATTGTTCCCTATTATCAAGCCATTGATCATAAGATTGTAGATCCTATCCGCGGACTAGTAATCAACACCAAGTCTAAGGAAACACTTGAATTTCCTAAAGCATTTATTGAAGGCTATATTTTGAATATTACCAGACCAATCACGCTCAAAGCTATCGTTGATAAAAACATGCATAATCCAGATACGGGCAAAATTGTTGATCCACTTACAAAGAAATTACTACCAATCGAAGACGCAATCAAGAGAAACATTGTACATGACTCCCTTAGCAAAATTAACGACACTGCGGCGGATAAAGTTATTCCACTCAAAGAAGCCATTCAGAAAGATCTGGTTAGAGATGGTTGTGTATTAAATTCCAAAACGGGTGCTTTGGTACCATATAAAGAAGCAGTTAAGCAAAATTTAATTCTGAACGAACCTGTTACATTCAATTTCTTGCAAACTATTCTCCTGAATTACTATAACCCGAAAACTGGCAAGATTCTCAATCCTACTTCCGGGAATGAGGAGTCCATTCTGAAAGCAATTGAATATAAATTGATAGATCCCACAACCGCCAAAATAAAAGATGATAGAAATGATAAAGTTATACCTGTTAATGAAGCTATCGAAAGTAAACTTCTGGATCCTGAACATGGGGTATTGACTTATCCTAAGTTGACACTAGACCAAGCATATTTGAAGGGTTACGTTATTAGCTCAATTCTTCCATGGTCCTTGCAAGAGGCACTCGCACAAAAAGTATACGATCCTAACGATGGCCAGTTTACCATTGGCAGCGCAACTATGACATTGCAAGACGCAATCGAGAAAGATATCATTGACGCCAAACAGTTGACAGTGTGCGAAGCAACTTCTCAGAAAATTATCCCTCTGGAAAGTGCCATTTCCGCTAAAATTATTGACCCGCAGAAGGGCATAGCCAACCATGAAAATAACGAAATAAATTTATTGGAAGCACAAGAATTGGGTATCATTCTACCGCACAAAGTTAATGTTCCACTTGCAGAAGCCCTAGCCAAGGGATTCTTTAACGAAGAAACTAAAACATTTGCAAACACACAAAACGAAGAACAACTCACGACACAATCAGCTATTGACCGCGAATTTTTAGACGTTTCTAGCACACTTGTTACAATTGACGAGAAGGTTTGTACATTTACGCAAGCGATTGAAGATGGCTTAGTACAACCGAAAGAAGCTGTGGTGACGATAAACGACAATGCGAAACCAATATCTTATAGTGAAGCGTATGAAAAGGAGTACTTGTAGATGTTCCACTTCCGGTTTCACTCTCCGACGCGATTAACAACAGTCTTTTTGATGCTGATACTCAGACCTTCCTTGATCCTCATACGGGTAACTACCTTAGTCTTTCCGAAGCGTTGGAAGTCACACTAATAGATCCTGAATCCGTCTCAGTAAAAGATACCAAACCTGGCGCATGGAGACAAATTCCTATTGTTGATGCGATACACACCGGGTATGTTGATGGCGATACTGGTCTTGTACATGACTTTAGCAAGGGCAATAATTATCAGGTGTCCTTACACCAGGCCCTTAACGATGGCATTTTGATTGATAATAATGCGGCGGTTTCGTTGCAACGTGCAATTCATCAGGGATTGTACGACGCTGATGTTTGTAAAATTGTAGACCCGAAAACAAATCGTAAGATTACACTACACGAAGCCATTCGTAAGTTTATGATCAACCCTATGTTGCCGTGCTATTTTGATAAACCATCTGAGCGTTTGTTGACACTCAAAGACGCCTGTAATTATGGCATTATTGATAAAAGTAAAGGACAGTTTAACGAACCTCATGGTACTAATAAGATGCCACTGAACGAAGCAATGGGTTTGGGTCTTATTGTTGATATTGAGAGTTGTGGGTTTGGTCTGTATGAAGCGTTGGCGATGGGTATGTACGATCCTAAGACTGGTATGCTTGTTCATCCCAGCACCTCGAAGTGTTATTCTCTGAATGACGCCATTAATACGGAATTAATCAATCCTAATTTATCGCTAGTGAAAGATCAGAAAAGTAAGAAATATGTACGATTGCCCGACGCACTTAAGAATAAATTAATCAATCCGGAACGTAACACGTATGACTTGGATAACAAACATATTAGTTTAATGGAAGCGAAAGATAATGGCTTGATTGTGACAATTCATCGACTTTTGACGGTGGAGGATGCCGTGAAATGCCAACTATATCGGCCCGATACTGGTAAATTTGTTGATCCATCAAATAATGAATACTATGACTTGAATGAAGCCATCGCGAAAGGTTTAATCGACGCTAATACAACAGGTTTTAAAGATTTAACTTCGGGTGCTATTAAATCGTTGCCTTTGGCGATTACAGACGGTAATGTTGATGTTGAGAAAGGGCGCGTTTTGGATCCTAAGACAAAGAAAGCATACAATTTTGATAAGGCATTGGAGAAGGGAATTTTGGTTACTTTAGATGTTCCACTAGGAGATGATTTATTCCAAAAGGTAATTGCCGAACTTGAACAACCTGTACGCGCGTCGCAAATTCGCGAATGTTCACTGCAAGACGCCATTCAGTATGAATTAATCAAGCCAGTTGAAGCGGTGTTGAAGAGTCCTCAGGACGGTAAATTTGTAACAGTTGAAAACGCAATAGCAAATCAAACTTTAGACACTAACAAACTAGTCGCATTCGAACCCAACGTCGGTAAAATTAAATCATTGTTGGTCACCTATGACCAGTCTTTAGTAATCTATCAAACCGAACCTTTAACATTTGAAAACGCAATTGAAAAGAACCACCTTGATGTAAACACCGGAAAGTTTACGATCCCTCAAACCGAAGACGTAATCACGCTCAAAGAAACGCTTACTTGCGGATACATTGATCCGGACACTGCTCTAGTGAAAGACACCAACAAAAAGAAACTGGTCAAGCTGCCTGATGGCTTCCGAAAAGGGTTGATTGATGCAGAGAAAGGCAATGTGCTGGACACGTCAACGTCCAAATTATATTCGCTGCCGGTTGCGCTTGACACTGGTTTGTTGACTACGCCAAAGCGCAGCTTGAGTTTAATTGAAGGCATTGAGTATTGTGCGTATAATCCAACTACGGGTGGATTCACCAACCCATTCGAGACTACTTCGATTCTCGAACGAAAGCGACTTACATTAAACGATGCGATCGCCGAAAATTTGATCGATCCGTCGAGCACGGTCGTCAAAGACCCCGAAACCGGCAGCGTTGTCTCGCTGCTAAACGCGATCGATGGTAAAATTGTCGACGCCGTCGGAGGGCGGTTGTATGACAAACCGAACGACAAACTGATCGATTTCGAGAAAGCGTTGGAGCAGGGTTTGATCCTGCCCGCCGAACAGAGGGTAAGTACATTTTTTCTAATATTTATGAATGACTATTTAAAGCAAAAGCTTAATGGTGATGTGCTTATGTGTTTGGCTCAGTATGCTTCCGGCATGCCGATATCAAAGAAAGCAATTCCAATATTCCAAAGAGGCGTATTTAAATTTACGCATATGAATAGTTTACTGCATGTTTTTTGCCTTTTTTGGTTGTGGAATAGCTTTTTGACATAAAACATTCACAAATTCATTTCATTAATCGATCTCACAATATTTGTTTTGTTAATCATCGACGTAATAATTCTAATTAATTTGCAAATTTAATTTGGTTTTCTTCCAAATTCTCAATAATTTGATTAATCTCCGCCCATATTGATTTAATATAATTTTTTACAGCTCGATCACACCCGTTGGAAAGTAGCCTTTCATTTGTGGTTCTGCTCATACCATACACACTCAAAGAGCGCTCTAATTACGACCAAGCGTTTAATGCACAATCTAAAACCAACGAGACAAGCTTATATGTTGTTTTAACATATCGCCATTGATTTAATTATAATTTTCTAATCGTCATATCATGACATATAGTTTTAAGTACATCTAGTTTAGTATGAGTTTCTTACCTGTAGTAATTCATAGAAATATTACTTTAGGTAGGAAGCTCAAAGGTAACACTGATCATGATCGTTAATCGTAATCAATGTGATTTTGTTGCTTTCTTTTATATGTCTTATGTTTTATATTTGTTTGCAGGTTTAATTTGATGTTTTTACACTACATTTTTGATTTTTTTTTTTTATATTTTAACTAACTATAAATGTGTGTGTTGTGCATGTGCGTTGCATGTTAGTGATAGGGTCAAGGTTATTTATGTTAAGTTATATTATCATACACATGATCTATGTCTTGTTGCAATGTTTTGTGTTTTTCTTAGTACTAAGGTAAGTACTAAGTAGCATTCATGTCACTCATACATCTTATCTGAGAATGTTGCATTTGTTGTGCATTGTTATGGCGCAGCGCTTCAGGATAGGTAAACGTTGCATGAAATTTGCCTGATTATTTATTTTTAAGTTTTTCTCTTTCTCTGCATGATCTCGCGGAGTTTTAATTGGTTTTAATGAACGTTTACAGCAAGCGGTCGAGGAGAGATACAAACTGTGCGATGAAACACTCACGAAATTGTTGCAATGGATTTCCGAAATCGAAATCAAGATTGCGTCCCTCGACGTTCTCAAAGAGGTGGACGAACATTTGCGCAACCAGATTAACACCACAAAGCAGGTGAAAGATGACCTCGAACAACATTCCGGCACCGTCTCCCATTGCTTGGATCAAATTCGTCAGTTGGTACTAACGGCTGGTGAAATTCTTTCAAAGAGCGAAGTTTCTACTCTTGAGCGTAATGGCAAAAACTTGAAAACGCGCTATGACAAATCTCAAGATCGCACAGATCGTCTCTTGAAGCGTATGTTGTCTGCAAATGATGAGTTACATAAGTTGAATGGAGAGCTGACCAACTTCTCCAACTGGCTGCACAAGGCTACCAGGGTTCTGGAAGAAAAAGAGCGAACGCTCGGTGATTTGCAACGTCTTAATGCCAGTGGCGACAGTATTAAAGAATTCGTCGCCGATGTCATCTCACATCAAGCGGATCTGAGATTTATCAACATGTCTGCACAAAAGTTTGTTGATGATTCTAAAGATTACCTTAATATCCTAAATGAGTTCCGCACTACACTGCCATCACGCTTGCCACATTTGGAGCCGTTATCTGCTCAGGAGTCTGCAGTTCGTAGCGAAGTCACAACTGTTGGTCAAAAATATCGCGATCTTCTCAACAGAACCAACATGTTGTCTGATAGATTGTCAGGTCTCGGAGGGCGCCAGAGAGATTACAATGACGCTTTAGATAAAGCCCGCGCTTGGATGCGTGAGGCCGAACCACGTGCCAACAAGATTCTAAACGAACCCATCGGAGGTGACCCGAGAACTTTGGAAGAACAATTAAACAAGTCGAAGTCAATGTATAACGACTTTGTTGCTAACGGAAGATTGATTGACAGCGCTAAACAAATGACCGCAGTGCTCATCCAGAATCTGGAAGGACAACTTTCGCCATCCGATATTTCCAGAATTGAAGAGCCAGTAATTGAACTTGACCGCAAATACAACCAATTGAAGAATGCGTTGAGCGAACGCTGTCAAGAACTGGAGACTGCTTTGGTGCAATCACAGGGTGTTCAAGACGCTCTAGATAATATTGTGTCTTGGTTGAATGGTGCTGAAAATGAATTCAAGAATATTCAACGACCAGCGTCTTTGATCAAAGAACAACTCGAAGAGCAAATTCGTGAACATCAAGTGTACCAATCCGATATTGAAACACGCATTTCTTCTATCGATTCCATTTACATGTCCGCTAGTGAACTGGTTTCTAGTTCTAGTAACACTCGTGTTGCCAAAAAGCTTGAAGATAGACTCAAGGATGCCAAAAACCGATTTGATAAATTACTTGAGCGTACACAGAAACGCGGTGAATTTTTGCACGAGGTTCATGAACAACTCGTGCGCTTTGTTTCGCAGTCTGATCAATTCGAGAAGTGGTACTCTGGTATCGTTGATTTAATTGAGTCTCGTGAATTTGCCAAATTATCCTTGGAGGAATCGTCCATTAAGATTCAAGAAATTGCCTCTAATCGTGACAGCAAACGATCATTGGTTGAACAAGCCATTCAAGGCGGTAAGGATTTAGTCAATAAACGGGATGTGACCGATACAGCTCCTGTCAGGGACCGTGTTAAGTCTATGGAGAATCATTGGAGGGATTTGAACAACCTTCTTGATGAAAAGTACAAGCTCTCGAAGCAACGTTCCGAACAACTTCAAGCGTATGACAATCTGCGCCTGAATATTAACGATTGGTTGAGCAAGATGGAAGCACGCATTGCTGGATTAGATGTGATTGCACTTGATGTCCAGGTCATCCAAAAACAACACGATGAATTGAAACCCATTGCCAAGGAGTTCCGTGATTTTGCTTCAACCATTGATAAGATCAATGATGCTGGAAATATGTACGATAGTTTGATCCGCGGCGAACGTACTGGTCAACGATACAGTCCTGTAAAGCGTACAAGTCCCTTGCGACATGATGGCAGATCTCCATCTCCTACCAAGGCCTTGAGCCCACTGTCACCCAGTGGTTCCAGTGGTTTCTCATCTCGGCGCTCTAGCCAAGATGGTTTCCACCTTGAAGAGCTTTCCCCGATCCAACAACAACTGGCCGAAATTAATAACCGTTACAATTTGGTAGGCGTGAAGATTAATGATCGCCAGAATGAAATCGACACCACTCGTGATGAAGTCAAGAAACAATTGGATAATTTGAAAACACTTAGCGCATTTTTGGACAAAGTTCAGAGGAATATGCCCAAAGACATTATACCATCCAGCAAAGATGAAGCAGACAAAATAAATAGGCAACTGAAACAGATCCTCGAGGAAATGTATGAGAAGCAATCACTGGTTGATTCCACCAAAACTCAGATTAAGGAGCTTATCCGCAAGAAGCCAGGCGCTATCGGAGCTAACAATTTGAACGATGCTGTGGATGATATTGTCGCTAGATGGAAGACTTTGTATGACCTTTGCAAAGAACGCATTCAATTCATGGAAGACCTTAAGGACTTCTTGGAAACTCATGATTCTTTATCATCTTGGTTGAGTTCCAAGGACCGCATGTTCACCGTGCTTGGTCCGATTTCTAGCGATCCCAGAATGGTCCAATCTCAAGTTCAACAGGTACAAGTCCTTCGCGAAGAATTCCGTACTCAGCAACCACAATTGCAACATTTGATCGATGTTGGTGACAATATCTTGGCGGTAGCCAACCCTAACTCTCCTGATGGAAGAAAGATCAATGACAAACTCGCAACGATTCAAAAACGCTGGGCCGATTTACTGGCTAAGCTTGAAGAGCGCGCTGATTCTCTTGGCGCTGCCGCTGATACAAGTCGCGAGTTTGACGCTCAATTGACTCGTCTGAGGGATGCACTTCAAGGTATATCCGATGCTTTGGATGAACTTCCACTCGATAAAGATCCTGAGGAGCAATTACGCAAGATTGAGAACTTGGAAAGGCAGTTAGAAGGACAACGACCACTCCTGGCTGATTTGGAGACAGCCGGTGCTCAATTGTGTGAAGTGTTGAGCGATCCAGCGTCAAGGGCTGACATTCAAGCCAAATTAGCAGCAATCGGTCGTCAATACAACGCTTTGCAGAAGAAACTTGACCATCGTAAGGCTGAGATTGAGAACATGCTACGTGATGGCAGGCAATTCGAAGAATCTTGTGCCAAGACATTGGGCTGGCTTTCGGACGAGCTGGGAAGCCTTTCTGAACGTTTGCTAGTATCCGCTGATCGTGATATCCTTGAACAGCAAGCTGCGCAACATGAACCCTTCTACAGGGAAGTTATGTCACGCGAGCATGAAGTCATTATGCTCCTCAACAAAGGTCGCGACCTTCTTGCTAAGAGCAACAAGGCTGACACACGTAATTTGCAAAGGGATCTCGATAAGATTCAACAACACTGGGACAAATTGCGCAAGGAGACAGTCGATCGCCACACCAGACTGCAAACCTGTATGGAACACTGCAAAAAGTACTACCGCTCTTTGGATGCATTCCTTCCATGGCTGCGACAAGCAGAGGATAAACTGGATAGCTTAAGACCAAGCTCATTCCAACGTAAGCACATTGATAAACAACTGAAGGAATTACAAGCGTTCAGAAATGATGTCTGGAAGAAATCTGGAGAATACGAGAACACCCGTACCCTTGGTGATACTTTCATTTCTGCTTGCGATATTGACAAAGAAGTGGTTAACAATGAAATGTTGACTTTGAAGGAACGATGGGATAAACTCAACAACGATCTTTCACTGCGTACCCAAGCATTGGAAGAACAAGCAAGGAAGTTGCAAGATTTTAACGAGAATATGCGTGATTTGCAGCATGGTCTCGAACGTTGCGAAGATAAACTTGCTTCCCATGATTCCCTCGGTGGTGCGGCTAGAGATCCTAAACTACTAGACAGGATTAAGAATCTTAAGGACGAAGTTAATGCCTTGATGAAGCCGTTGCAGACATGTAAACAACAAGCCACAGATTTGTACCATGAAGCTAAGGAAAGTGGCATTGACGGTCATCACTTGGTCGATGAGGTCGACGCTCTTGGCGACCGGATTCAAGAACTACAAGGCAAGTTGGACGATAGATGTTCAGATTTGCAATCAGCCGCAACTGCTGTTACCCAATTCAATGAGCAAGTCAAGGCCTTGTCACATGACTTGTCAGCTCTGGAATCTGAATTAGATGGAATGAAACCACCTGGAAGAGATGTGAAAGTAGTGCATCAACAGATTGATGATGTTGGACGTTTTGGTCAAAAGCTTAACAAGGCTGCTGATGATGTGAATAAAGCCATTTCGGCTGGCGAACGCTTGGTTGATAATGGCTTTGCTCCAGACACAGCACAAACACGCCATCAAGTTGATGGATTACGTCGCCAGTTAGCAAAATTAGACGACAGGGCCAAGGCACGTGAACAGAAACTAGAGACCATCTTGAAAAAACTTGAGAACTTCTTTATGGTGCACTCTAATGTGATGGACAACATCCAAGACGCTTCTGAGGAATTGCGTAAAATGAAACCTGTTGGTACTGATGTGGAGACTATTAGAGCGCAACAACAAGAAATGAAGAGGATACGTGCCAAAACCATTGATGCACTTGGAAAGAATGTCGATGAATGTAACCGAAGTGGTCAAGGGCTTATTCAATCCGCTGCTCCTGGTGTGAGTACATCCACCCTGGAGAAAGAACTTGAGAAGATGAACGATTTATGGAATAACTTGAAGGAGCGTTTGAATGAACGAGAAAGGCGCCTGGATGTTGCGTTGTTGCAATCCGGCAAATTCCAAGAAGCTTTAGATGGATTAGCTAAGTGGCTCACTGACACTGAAGAACTTGTGGCAAATCAAAAACCACCTAGTGCGGATTACAAGGTCGTCAAGGCACAGCTGCAAGAACAGAAGTTCTTGAAGAAGATGCTTCTGGATCGACAAAATTCGATGTCTAGTCTGTTTAGCATGGGAAATGAAATTGCCAAGGATGCTGATCCAGCAGAAAGGAGAGCAATTGAGAAACAACTTAAAGATTTAATGGGACGTTTTGATGCGTTGACTGAGGGAGCGCAAAGACGTACACTCGACTTGGAACAAGCCATGAAAGTGGCTAAAGATTTCCAGGACAAACTCATTCCCCTTCAAGACTGGTTGGATCGCAGCGAGAAAAAGATCAAGGATATGGAACTTATTCCCACCGATGAAGAGAAAATTCAACAACGTATTCGGGAACATGATGCTTTGCACGCTGAGATTATTCGAAAACGCACCGAGTTTTCAGAGTTGGCTGACATTGCAGCCAATCTCATGTCGCTTGTGAGTGAAGATGAAGCTTCGACTGTCGCTGATAAATTGTCTGAAGTTACCGATAGATATGGTCTTTTAGTAGAAGCTAGCGAGGAAGTAGGCAGACTTCTAAACGCCTCCCGCCAGGGTCTAAGACACTTAGTACTCACATATCAAGATCTTGCTGGCTGGATGGATGCGATGCAGCAGCGTTTGGGCAGATACAAAGTCTTGGCTGTTCATACTGAAAAACTCCTAGAACAGATGGACGACTTGACCGGATTAACGGAAGAAATTGCAAGCAGGCAGAACGATATTGACGGAACTGTCGATGCGGGTGTGGAACTCATGAAACACATTTCGTCCGACGAAGCTATTCAACTTAAAGACAAACTTGACTCATTGCAACGTCGTTATAACGATCTTACTACACGCGGATCTGACTCGCTAAAACACGCTCAAGATATGCTACCATTAGTCCAACAATTCCACAACAATCACAACAGATTGGTTGATTGGATGCAAGATGCCGAGGCGATCTTACAATCTGGTGATAGCAATGAGGGAGACATCGCGCGTTTGGAAGTTGATTTACAGGTAATTTATTAACTTTTTATACATTTTCTGATTATAATATTGTTGACTGTGATTTTCAGGAATTGCGCCCAGTTTTGGAAACAATCAATTTGGTTGGTCCACAATTGTGCCAAGCTAGTCCAGGTGAAGGTGCATCGACCATTGAAGGTTTGGTGACAAGGGACAATCGTCGCTTTGATGCTATTGCCGAACAAATCCAACGTCGCGCAGAGAGAATCCATCTGGGCAAACAAAGAGCGTTGGAAGTCACTTCCGATATTGATGAGTTGCTGGAATGGTTCCGCGATGTTGAAAACCAAATCCGCGACGCTGATAAGCCGTCCGCCGATCCGGACGTAATTCGTGTGCAACTGAAGGAACACAAAGCGCTTAATGATGATATTTCTAGTCAAAAAGGACGCGTACGCGACGTTCTCTCCACTGCTAAGAAGGTGTTGCGCGAATCTCCGCCGAGCGAAGACATGTCACTTATTCGCGAAAAGATGGAAGACTTGCGCGAAGCAATGGACACCGTTTCAGCGCTGAGCAGTGACCGTCTGGGCGTTTTAGAACAAGCGCTCCCACTTGCCGAACATTTCCACGACACTCACGCCGTTTTGGCCAACTGGTTGACTGACATGGAAGAACAAGTATCTATGTTGTCTATGCCCGCGTTGCGACCAGATTTAATTGCTCAACAACAAGATCGCAATGAGATGTTCCTGCAATCGATCAATGAACACAAGCCACTGGTTGACAAACTGAATAAGACCGGCGAAGCTTTGATTCGCCTTTGCACGGAAGACGATGGCAGTAAGGTACAGGACTTAATCGACAGCGATAATAGTCGGTATGCTGCGCTTCGTCAAGAATTGCGCGAACGTCAACTAGCTCTCGAGCAGGCGTTACAGGAAAGCTCACAGTTCTCCGACAAACTGGAAGGGATGCTTCGTGCTCTTTGCAATACTGCAGATCAGGTCAACAATCAGGAACCAATCTCGGCACATCCACCAAAGATTCGCGATCAAATTGAAGATAACGATGCACTTATTGGTGATCTCGATAAGCGCAAGGAAGCTTATGCGGCGGTCAAGCGCGCTGCTGATGATGTGATTAACAAGGCTGCCAATCGCGCGGATCCTGCTATCAAGGATATTAAACGTAAACTTGATAAGCTGAAGACCCTTTGGGATGACGTGCAGAAGGCAACTAACACGCGCGGCAGATCTTTGGATGATGCTTTGAAGGCAGCTGAGAAGTTCTGGAAGGAATTGCAAGCGGTTATGGTTCAACTTAAAGACCTGGAAGATTCACTACAAACTCAAGAACCGCCCGCGGTGGAACCGAAGGCAATTCAGAAGCAACAAGTTGCCCTGCAGGAAATTAGACATGAAATTGATCATACAAAGCCTCAAGTCGAACAAGTTCGTTCTTCTGGTGTCAAATTGATGCAACTTGTTGGCGAACCTGATAAGCCCGAAGTTAAGAAACACATTGAAGATTTGGATAATGCTTGGGATAACATCACTGCCTTGTACGCCAAGCGCGAAGAAAATCTTATTGATGCCATGGAGAAGGCAATGGAGTTCCATGAAACTCTTAGGGTAAGCATTTTTAAAGGCTTCAAAACCTTGCAGTAAAATGGGCTTGATATTTTAGAATTTGTTGGAGTTCCTTACAAAGGCAGAAACTAAATTTGCCAACATGGGACCACTTGGCACAGACATTGACGCCGTTAAGAAGCAAATCGATCAACTCAAGAAGTTTAAGGCTGAGGTCGACCCGCATATGGTTAAGGTTGAAGCTTTGAATAGGTAAGTTGTTCGCTCTTTTACTTATTCTTGATTTTAAGATAATTTTACAAAATATTTTTGTGGATGGTTACTAACTAATGTGTTCTTTTTCTATATATTCTATATATTCCCACGGATATACAGGAGTCTTATAAGGCAAGACTATTTATACGTTTAATGTTTAACTGCGTTATGCCATCGAGCTAATGCAAAAAAGCTTGCTTCATGTGTTTTTGTTCTTGTACTGAACAGAAAGTTGAATTGCTTTTGTCATTTAACTCAATCGCCAGTCTGCATCATTTTGATCGATTTCTAATAAATTAATGTTGACGCCAATTTAGTCATGGCAATTCGATCGACATCGAATCATATGCAGACTAGTGCTATGTTGAAATTGCATGTTCTTGTTTTGTCCTGTGCGCAAATTATCAGCATATCGAGCATAGTGCTTACGCTTACTATGCAAGTGTTCCAGCTTGATGCACAGGATTCATTTGTGTTTTGGTTTTACAGGCAAGCCCAAGAACTAACGGAGCGAACCTCTGCTGATCAAGCTGCGTCCATTAAAGAACCTCTCATTGCTGTTAATCGCAGATGGGACGAGCTTTTGCGTGGTGTTGTGGAACGTCAGAGACAGCTTGAAAACGCGCTGTTGAGATTGGGTCAATTCCAGCATGCTTTGAACGAGTTGCTGGTATGGATTAGCAAGACCGACAAGACTCTGGACGAACTTAAGCCTGTTGCTGGTGATCCGCAAATCCTGGAAGTTGAACTGGCCAAACTTAAAGTGCTGATCAACGACATTCAAGCACATCAGACTAGTGTTGACACTCTTAACGATGCTGGCAGACAAATTATTGAGAGCGGTGACGATGAAGCTTCAGTCACTCAAGACAAGTTGAACACGCTTAACAGTCATTGGAAAAATCTCATGCAAAAGGCTGCCGACAGGCAACGCGAGTTAGAGGATGCCTTGACGGAAGCTCAACAATTTAATGCTGAAATTCAAGATCTTCTCAGCTGGTTGGGTGATGTTGATGGTATTATTGCCGCAAGTAAACCGGTGGGCGGTCTGCCAGAAACGGCAAGTGAACAATTGGAGCGATTCATGGAAATCTACACTGAACTTGAAGATAACAGACCCAAGGTTGAAACAGTTCTTGCCCAAGGACAGGAATATCTTAAGCGTGGTTCAAACGCTGCTTCCAACTTGCAGCATAACTTGCGCACACTGAAACAACGATGGGATTCAGTTACTGCGCGTGCGAACGATAAGAAGATCAAACTTGAGATTGCGCTTAAGGAAGCTACCGAATTCCACGAGGCCCTTCAAGCATTCGTCGATTGGCTCACAAATGCTGAGAAACATTTGAGTAACCTGAAATCAGTTTCCCGAGTTTTGGAAACCATTCAAAATCAAATCGAAGAACATAAACTTTTCCAGAAGGATGTCAATGCCCACAGAGAAATCATGTTAAACTTGGACAAGAAGGGAACACATTTGAAATATTTTAGCCAGAAACAGGACGTGATCCTTATTAAGAACTTGCTCATCAGTGTCCAGCACAGATGGGAACGCGTAGCGTCCAAATCTGCTGAGCGCACTCGCGCATTAGATCTTGGATACAAAGAAGCCAAGGAGTTCCACGATTCATGGTCTGGTTTGATGAATTGGCTTGACGAAACGGAAGCTCAGTTAGACGAACTCAAAGATTCCATTGGCAACAATCCAGATGTTATTAAAACTCGTCTTGCAAAACATCAAGAATTCCAACGGGCCCTGTCCGCTAAACAAGCTACTTACGATAGTACCATGAAAATGGGCAAGTCACTCAAAGACAAAGCTACTAAGAACGATGAGCCAACTCTGAAACAGATGTTAGTTGAATTGAAGAACAAGTGGACGTCAGTCTGCAACAAGAGTGTCGATCGGCAGCGTAAACTTGAAGAAGCGTTGTTGTATTCTGGTCAGTTTAAGGAAGCCATTGCTGCATTGTTGCAATGGCTGAAGCGTGTTGAAAAGGATTTATCAGAAAATCGACCACTACATGGAGATTTGGATACTGTTAACCATCTGTTGGACCAACATCGTCGTTTTGAACAAGATCTTGAAGCGCGCAACGTACAAATGGAATCTGTTATGCGCACTGGCAATGAGCTACAATTGAAAGCTAGTGTTTCGGATGCTTCTGCAATTAGAACACAATTGACTGAACTCACTAGTTTGTGGGATTCGGTAAGTACGCTGACAACCCGGAAAGCCAGCAGACTAGAAGAAGCCCTTCGAGAAGCGGAACGTCTTCACAAATCCGTACACATGTTGCTCGACTGGCTCACCAACACTGAAATGAAACTGAGATTTGCCGGTAATTGACCAAGGTGATCAATCTTAATTATACTTACTAATATGAATATATTTATAGGAAATACACCAGAGGATGAAGCATCTGCATACGAACAATTGGACATTTTAGAGAAGGTCAGACAGGAACTCATCGAAAAAGAGATTGAGAAAGACAGGACTCTAGAGTTAGCCCATTCCGTATTGGCCAAAGCTCATCCTGATGCCGTGCATGTAATCAAGCAATGGATCACCATTATCCAATCGCGCTGGGAAGAGGTTTCTCAATGGGCGAAGCAACGATATGACAAACTATCAAGTCACATGCAGTCGCTCAAGGACTTGGATGAATGTCTCGAAGAACTTTTGGCGTGGTTGCTTGGTTTAGAAAATACACTATTGTCTTTGAAGCAGGAAGAACTACCAATGAGTATACCAGCTACCGAAAGACTCATTGCTGATCACAAGGAATTGATGGAGAATACCCAGAAACGACAAATTGAGGTCGACAGGGTCTGCAAGGCGCGTCAAATTAAAGTGCAAACTAAAGACTCCAAGAAGTACATCAAGGGAAAACTGCCAATGTAAGTAGACATTAATTTTATTATGTTATTTAAACATACACAATCATGCTACACTAGACATATGAATCTATCTTTCATGCTCTACACTCTACAATATTTGCTTGCATGTGTTTTTTTCATCAATATGTGTGCTTATTCCTTCATTGCAGTAGAGGATCACAGCATGATTTACGTGAAACCTCACCTGATTATGGCAAACTCGGCCGTAAGCAAAGGTATGTCTCAAGCACTTTTCTCGCACCGATTTCTATTTGTGAGCTTAGTCAAAACTGCTATGTGTGTTAACTTTTATCAATCGATTGCAAACAACCATTTAGTTTTATATCTCGGCATAAGCACTTAAAACAACCACTTAATTAGCTTTTTTGTTTTACTTGAATTAATTCGATTGTTTACGATTTTGTTTATGTTATTTCCTCTAGCTTCAAAGGTTCACGCGACTTGTACACCGGACGCAGGTTAGATATGACATTTATTTAAATATTTAAGTTAAAAAAAGAAACAAGTAACTAATCTAGTTGTAAGTGTAACAGCTATTAGTATTGTGGATTTTGTCAATATTCTAGTTTTTGAGTCATTTGTTGAGTGTTGCATGTTGGTACTTTTTCTAGCAGGATCAGCCCATCCAGGGAATTCAGCCCAGATCCGCAGTTGCCTCATTATGGACCTAGATTCCCAAGGTAAAGTACTAAGTAGCATTTGCATGAGACCGTGGTACCGATTTTATTTGAGTGAACTTATGTCAAAACCCACTAAAGAGACAGTGGTGTTTATCAGATTTATCAATTTTCATGCGCTGCGAAATTTTTTCTGAATAATTGATGTACAAGAGACTGACTGACTTTGAGGAAATTTTAGCGCCGAACCTGAGTTCAAGAGCCCAAGGGTAAAACTTTTGTGGGACAAATGGCGCCACGTTTGGATGTTGTCCTGGGAACGACAGAGACTTTTGCACAACCATTTGGCTTACCTCAGGGAGAAGGAACGTGCTGATAACTTTGTATGGGACGAATGGAGGAAGCGCTTCCTGAAGTTCATGAATCATAAGAAGTCCAGACTCACTGACTTATTCAGAAAAATGGATAAGAATAACGACAATCTTATTCCGAGGGACGATTTTATTAACGGCATCATTAATACTAGTATGTTTCGTTATTTAATGAAGCGTACAATTTATTCATAATAATAATTTTTCAGAATTTGATACCAATCGATTTGAAATGAAGGAAGTTGCTGACATGTTCGATAGAAACAATCGCGGTCTGATTGACTGGAAGGAGTTTATCGCTGCTCTCAGACCCGATTGGGAAGAGAAGAAACCTGATAATGACGCTCAAAAGATACATGACGAAGTCAAACGTCTTGTTATGTTATGTACCTGTCGCCAGAAATTCCGTGTGTTCCAAGTTGGAGAAGGAAAATACAGAGTAAGTCTCATACTTTCAATATCTACTACAGAACGAGTAAAAACGCAGTCGGAGTATTAATCAGCAAGAACAGACAAATCGACTACTGTCCAAAATGTTTACTAATTCATTTTCTTTTAAAGTTCGGTGACAGCCAAAAGTTGCGACTGGTTCGTATTCTTCGTAGTACCGTGATGGTGCGCGTTGGGGGTGGATGGATCGCATTAGACGAATTCTTGTTGAAGAATGATCCTTGCCGAGGTACGTGTTTCTTATTTGCATTACATATCAATATTTACATACACTACACATACACAAATCACACAACAGAAACAAACAAAAGGTCAAAATTTAATGGTATAACTACCCGAAAAAACGAAATAACGTAACAATAATGAATATAACAAAACAGATATAAGTGAATAACACGACAGCCAAAATAATACATAATATCATCACGGACCGTCGGACGAAAGAATTAACTTATCCCGAAAAATTGTAACACTTTTAATATTCCATTTCACCTCATATCTATCTCGAATAATTCAATTAATGGTAGTAACGACAATTGCATTCATTACCGATTACCGTTTAGCACAAAGCTCAAGATCGGTGATGAATCGATCACGCTTTAACATCGTAGTCATAATAACTAATTGTTAATTTGTTTCTCTTTATTGTTTTAATTTAAAAATTGACCCTGCCATAATCCTAACATGTTTTCGATGCGTTTTAACAATTTACGTTACGTTCAAATGACTTTCAATTACCAAATTATATATAAAAAAGTTATGTTGGTGCTACCCATACCCCACCCAGAAAAACCCGAACAGCACGAGCCTTGGTGCCCACTTGGTAAGCCTGCATGGGTGTTATTCGATGTATGCCATTATGATTTATTTATTAAGGTTGATGCATCTAAAATTATTTATATTTCTTGCTAAACGTGGTTTTATTTGTGATCATTAATTTGGTTTGGTGCATGAATTAAATACGACACATGAAACATTTTGACACGAATTTTGTTTTTGGTATTGTAGTTGTGTATGTAGTGTATTTCATTATCAAACACATTCTTCATATTGCATACGCTGATATTGCCATTGCGGCAATGTTTTTGTGGATCAAGGTATTTCGAAGTTTTGCTTATATATTTTTGTTTATGTTTTTCCTCTTTCCAAAACTGCCCACTCAAACTTTAACTTGATATTCGAAATACTAATCTGAATATTGTTATGCCTTAACGCTCCCTATCACCATCCTTGGACAAATTTGTTTCGTCCTCACGTCCCGTACGCACATATAGCTAAGGGCCGCACCAACATTGAGCTCCGCGAACAGTTCATCCTGGCCGATGGTGTGTCGCAATCCATGACCGCATTCAAGCCGAAGACATCGGCTTCTTCACCTGCCTCCGGTTCGTCCGCTACCTCTTTGCGTACGTCGCAAGGACCAATCACCAAGGTATATCTGTCGCACCTTTCGGTCGCGGGTTTTTAGATTAGTTAAAAAAAAACTCCTCCTGCATCTTGGCTTTCTATGTTAAGTTGGGCACGGTAAAGAGTTGTAAGTAAACATTGCATGCATATAGTTATAACTTCTGGTCTTTGGTCACGGGACTTCCGTCGGATTACTGGTAAGGTATACGTTTAGTCAACTGGTAACTATCTGCACCAAAAGTGTTACAATTTGTGTCATTACCTATGTGTTTTGTCCTTCTCGTCCTGTGCTACACGAAGTGAATATAGCTTTACATATTAGTCATTCTGCATGAGTGATCATCATTATGCAGCTAGCAAACCATTTGCAAACGAAGAAGTGCTGTTTTTTCGGCAAAAAGTATCATCAGTTTTCAATTTGCCGTCACGAATATTATACAACACTATAAATTAAGAGGGCTTTTGACTTTGAGTTATTTTTGTGTTTCTTCTTTGTAATTCTCATTGCGCAAGTGATCTACAAATGTGTGTTCACAAAATTTTCTTATTTTAATTTAACACAAAACACTAACAACACAAACGTGTACCACGTGTACATCGGGAACTACAATATAACGTGATATAACAATGGTTCTTGAGTTAATCGTAAATTTTGGGGATTGTATTGTGTCTATACAGCTGAAGAGCACTTGGCGGAGTTGATGCCCATTTTCGAACAGCTGCGGGCCCGAGGAGAGGTGGGCAATGCATATCCGATGCATGTCGGTTCCACCTCGAGTCCCACGGTGCACACGGCGCACATGAATCCTTATTCTTGTCACTGGGTAATATACACTGAAACAAGACTAACTTCTATTTTTATGAGTTGTTTTTATAATTTAAATCTTATGTGGGTTGATCTTTTACGTAATAATTAAGGTGGTGGCTTTTAGTATGCTAGCGAATGCATGTTTGTGTGACTGCACAACTCCCGTTTTACCCAAAAATTCGTGAACGCAATAAAAGAGATTCGTGTTGATTACGACTGTCTCGTCTTTAACGTGTTTGCTCGTTTAGAGTTTTATTCGATTTTTGTTTGGATGAGCGTTTTGCAATACCAAAAGATACTCAAGATAACACACACTAATATGCAATTATTGAGTATTTTCATGGTACTATTTTTCATTGATTGATTGTGCAGTTGCCATGTATGGTCCAGAAAAAGATCACCACAGATTATTATATCTTTCCCAAGTACCGCTGGTATGTATTTGTTTTAATTTCCCCATCATGTTCCGATGGTAATGTATGCGTAAGTTATATTTATATTAAGATTTTTTATTTTGGTAAGTTTAAAGTTTTTAGGTGCTAGGTAAATTGAGACATTTGGTGCTAACGTCTAGTTTTGTCTTCCTTAGGTACGAGAGCGTTCAGCCAAGTCGGTGCCAATGTCCGGCAGCAGCTTTCCCCGATCATCCAAGTCCAACTTGTCAGCTGGAACGCCGGATTCTCTCTCCGACACCGAAGGTCCGTCCTACAGGACCCCGCGCAAATCCTCGTACCGATCAACTCTCACTCCTGGGGACTCTCGTTCCAACTCGAGACCCACTTCAAGAACTGGCAGCCGACCAGGAAGCAAACCACCAAGTCGTCACGGTTCCAACTTGTCTCTTGACAGCACTGGTATATACATTAAATGGATTGTTTGTGAAGAGATTACTAATTGATTAATGTTGAATTTTTAGATGATACACCATCTCGCATTCCACGAAGAACGTCGGCGATGTCTGGACGATCTGGTAGCACAGCATCATCTTCTGCACGAAGGTTGAATACAAACGGAACATCTTTATCACGTCCTAGGACGCCAACAGGATTAGTTTCTCCTGGCAGTCCATCAGCAAGGTAAGCACTTTGATCGCACATTTAATCAATGGAACCTCAATCACTCTGCATTTGACAACAATTCACAGCATCATTTGTTTAACGAAAGAGTTATATTTCATTAATAAGTACCGAATAACTCGTAGATTAAATTCAAAAATAACATTAATTATCTAGATCATCTGGCATACCACGAGCATCCAGTATTCCAACCCTAACAACAATATTAACGCCCAGGTAATTAAGAAATGACCATGACAAAATTTTTGCACAAAAATGAAAGCACTAAAAAAATCGAATAATTTGAACTATATAAATATATTGACAGTAGATAACTTCTTAGAGATGGGGATCGGTTGGTTCGGGTTTTTTTTTTATTTCTAGTGATTCTCTTTCATACTTTATACTTGATATTTTCAGACGAAAATCTGAATCTTGGCGCTATGATGACGATGATTTTTAAACAGTTTCACGATAGAGGTTTGTTACTTTATCAAAATTGAACAATACTTAACAGAAGTAGTAAACCAACCAAATTACGTAGAAAACAATAATACAACGAATGTAACAAATTCTGATTATTATATATGAGCAAATGGTCACTCAAAAAATTAACGCGTTAATCATCATTCATATGCGAATTAAAGTTCCATACAAATAACGTGGTGGTAATTTATTCTCAGGTCTCGCATTCCGATTTATAAAGGAAATTCGGGTGACTCTGATTTACAGTCACTATCAACCTCTAGCTCTTGTTCTGTATCTTTATCATCGGGGTAAATTTATTGATTACTAATGATTTGTGTTGCATGGTGTGGAATTATGATGATTTCTCGGAAGTATCGAGCATGATTGAGCATGTACTCATAATTCGTGATTTTTATGTCACGTGATAGAATGGAGTGAATATTTTATTTTGTATGCCTCTAAACATTACTATTTGACCATCTAGTAAATTAACATTTTTCTATTTCTTGCTAACAAAGTACGAAGTCTTCAAATTCAAAAATACCTATACCGAATAGGTAAGATTGAAGTTGCTCGATTTGATATGCCGAATGCATTTTGTTAATGTGTGTCGTACGTTTTTGATAACAACTAACTGGCATGTTGTGATATGTTAACTGTAGGACTACCACTACCAAAACCAGGAATCTATCTACTTCTAACGCTCCAATTTTGCGAACCGCCTCTAGGTAATTAATTGAGCAAAATAACCAAATTTTCATAGCTGCGCTTGAACGATGTAATTATTTCGTGATTTCTTGTGCAGAACACGAACACCTTCGGGATCTAACACCCCGGTACCGGCTGGCGTTCCTACCGCCGCTTCAAGATTATTGCGGCGACCATCTGGAGCTGGAGATACGCCGACAGGACAACAGAAAAATCAACAACATCGTCAACAAAGCCAGCATGGCTATAATTGTAACACTTTTGGTTTACACTAACAATTCCATTCTAACTGACTGACACTTTAGGAGTATAATTACGCATATTTTTCTATTTATAAATGTGTAAAGAGTATTTAAGGAAACGCCTGCAAATCTTTGCCAGCGTCTTGTTAAAATCGCCAGTTTAACATGGCGCTTGCAAACATCTGGAACAGGTCAAACAAGAAAACGAAAATGAAGAAAGTTACACTAAAATCGGATACACGATTACTTACATTTTTTATTTAGATTTGGTTTTGTGTACGTAATCTGTTATAGTTGCCATATTTAACAAAATCAATTTTGTTTTTAATTAATAATTATTTGGAATAATTTAATTTATTTATGATTTATATTTTATTTCTAGAAGAATTGTTCACGATTTTGTTAAAATTGTATAAAGGAAAGTCAGATTGTTCCAATATCATATAATCGCAATCTTCTAAAACAATTGGTACTTTTTAAAGAAGAGCGATCACAAGTATTTGTAAAGTACATACATTGTAATCTGTCCAATTCTTTTGCAAATCGCCAGTTGCATTTGAGTTGGAATAAGTCATTTGATAAAATTTGAGGTATTTATAAAAGATTTGCTTGTATTATTTAACTAAGATTGTTATTTAATAAACTAAATTTTATTAAACATTGTTTTTATTAGTGTAAACAGAGGAATCCATCAAATGAAGTTCGAACTTTTTTTGTTGAAATTTTTTTAGGTCGAAAAACAGGGTCGAACTTTTTTTAGTAAGCTTTTTTCGGTCGAAGAACGGTCAAACATTTTGTTAAAAGTTTTTTCCGTCGAAGAACATGGTTAGATTTTTTTGGCGATTACGTCAAGAACAAAAAGGACTACGAAAAAAGGACTTTATTTTCTTGATCATTGAAAAAATCTCTACAAAATGACATATTTCCGGAAAAACAACAAAAATCGAGATTATAAATTCCATGCATAGTACATTTCATGTTCTGCATTACCACACTGGAAGTATCAGTGTTTGCAAACAAACAAGTTTTTCTTATCTTGTGCAATTTTAGTGCGGTCGACACGCTGTTGGCTTGCGTACAACGTTAGTCTCATTTTTGTCGCCGGTTGGTCTGCACGTACATTTGCTTCAAAATCATTTGAGTTCCTTAATTTCTCTTCGCGTAATTACGTAATATTTCTAAAAGTTCTGTTCCAATGTGCGCGAGTTATGTGTGGTATTTGATAAATGCGGATTGAACATAGGGAGAGGTAAAGCGAGTGATGTTCCGTCGACCCTCGGATACTCTTTAAGTCTTGTACGCATATTTCATCGTTACTACAGTGTGCATATTTAAGTTCCTTACAACTTATTGGATATCATGAAAACGAATTAGTAATTTGGCATCCAGGTATGTTCTCGCTACTACTACTTCACCTACTACTTGCATATAAAATAGCAAAACCGTTGTAGACTCTACTTGTTTTTGTTTCAACCGCGTAGTCTTTACGCACGCAAATAATTTTTGCCTCTGTTCAAAACCCTCCGTTGATTTGCATTACGTATACGATCCATTGTTTCATTTTTGTTTAATGTACGAATTAAGAGAAATCTTTTTCCAGCAAATGCAGCTTTTGAAATAATTACAATTAAAATAGTTACAATTAAGGTCCTTACAACTTATTGGATATCACAAAAGCGTAAAAGTAATTTTGTATCCAGGTATGTTCTCGCATTACTTCACCCATATACTCGTAAAATAGCAAATCCGTTGTAGATTCTACTTGTTTTTACTTCAACCGCGTGGTCTTTACGCACGCTAATAATTTTTGTCTCTGTTTTAATACGTCAATTAGCATTACTTATTCGAAACATTGTTTCGCTTTTATTTTATATACGAATTACAATTTAAGATTGTTGCGTGCCGTCGGCTGCGTTCTCGGTGGAGGCTGCGGCGTTTTCCAGATCGGTCGCCTGTTGTTTTACATGATTTTAAATAAAATTCGGCTTTGTGTTTTATTTTTGTAGTATCTAATCCATCACAATGCCTTGATATCCAGAGGAAATACCGTGCTAACTGTCTTCTTTTTATGTCGCCTTGTCAATTGTTTTCAGCCCGGTATTGTATCTCCCGGTATATATATTTTCCTTATCAAGTGCTGAAAATTGATCATATTTATTTGTGTTTGGATGTTTTTCGTTTTTAACATATGATTTTCTAGTTGTAACACCCTGTATGTTAATTTCCCGTGCCAAGTTTGAAATACCACGTCACCGTAGAAGGTCAGCGGTAGAAGTGACTCGTGTTCAGGACACCGTATGAGGGTAGCGGTAGAAGTGACTCGTGTTCAGGGCACCGTAGAAGGGCAACGATAGAAGTGACTCGTGTTTAGGGCACTGTATGAGGGTAGCGGTGGAAGTGACTCGTGTTCAGGGCACCGTATGAGGGTAGCGGTTGAAGTTACTCGTATTCAGGTACTCACATAGAGAATATTCCAATCTTTCATAATCTATAATTTTCTGGTTGCTACCTCTTTTAGTTTAAAAGATATTCACTGTCGAAAAGCGTAGAAATATATTATCAAACATTAATATCCAATTTAACTAGCTTATTATAAAGCAACTTGTCCGTAGATTAAGACTCTACAATTCGGTCCTTTCTATCTCTTTTAGTTTACGAGATATTCGCAATTAAAATAAATCGTCAAAAATTGAAAAATTGCAATTTTTAGCACTTTCAGTCGTGTTTTTTGATTTTCCAATTTTCCAATTTTCCAATCATCCATTATCTACAATTTTCCGATGTATGAATATAATATTATTATATTGTATCATAGAGTATAAATTATAGCAATATTACGATTTGATAGGCATTATTAAATTGCTTATGATTGATATTTTCATGCATTATCAAATCAACTTTGTTGCATATTTGATAAAAGGTGTTTTGAATTTAAACCTGCCGTTACTAGATAGTCGGTTAGATGGCACTACGATGCACGTTTTCGCGTTGAATATTGCTTGTCGGTGGTAGTGCTTGCACACCGTGTCCGTGTGCGATCACGCGATTTCACACAAGAGATAAGTTTGTTTACCTGCAGATATCGAATCTTTATTTCTTGGAATAAAATCACATCTTGCAGTTCATGTTGGCATCGTAAATATAAGCAAGTATTCTTCAATTTTTAAATCATGAATATAACTAACAATTTTACATTAGGTGAAATAGTTTATTATAAAAGTCATCATCAGCAAAACATTTTTGACAGCAGCAGATCACTTAAGAAGATAAGTTATTTGATGTAAAGTCTGGCACTCTGTCAGCATAAGAAATCATAATTACGCAAATCGAATTTTAATTTTTCAATTTTTTTAATGTTTCATCGTGGAAATTGGCTCATATCTCGGGAACTATTCGCGATATTTGCACGTTCGCTTTTGATTCTGATAATCAGAGAGTTATTAATCTTACGAATACGCTATTGCCGCCCGCTGAAATCATGCCGGAAGTGCCAGAAAATCGCTTGGCAAATTTAGCTATTTTTCAACCTTTTTAATGTTTCATCGTGGAAATTGGTTCATATCTCAGGAACTATTCGCGATATTTGCACATTCTCTTCTGATTCTGATAGCCAGAGAGTCAATCTTACGGATATGCTATTGCCTCCCCTAGAAATCATGTAAAAAGTGCCGGAAAGTCGCTCGGCAAATGTCACAATTTTTCAACTTTTTTAATGTTTTATCGTGAAAATTTGCTCATATCTCAGGAACTATTTGCGATATTTGCACGTTCTCTTCTGATTCTTATAGTCAGAGAGTTAATCTTACGGATATGCTATTGCCGCCCCTATAAATCATGCAAAAATTTCTAGAAAATTGCTCGCCAAATTTCAGTATTTTTCAATTTTTTTAATGTTTCATCGTGTAAATTGGCTAATATCTCGGGAACTATTCGCAATATTTGCACGTTCTTTTCTGATTCTGGTAGATAGAGAGTTAATCTTATGGATACGCTATTGCCGCCCGCTTAAATCATGCTGGAAGTGCCAGAAAACGCTCGGCAAATTTCACTATTTTTCAACTTCTTTAATGTTTCATCGTGGAAATTGGCTTATATCTCAGGAACTATTCGCGATATTTGCACGTTCTCTTCTGATTCAGATAGTCAGAGAGTAAATCTTACGGATATGCTATTGCCGCCCCTAGAAATCATTCAAAAAGTGCCGGAAAATCGCTCGGCAAATTTCATTATTTTTCAATTTTTTTAATGTTTCTTCGTGGAAATTGGCTCATATCTCGGGAACTATTTGCTATATTTGCACGTTCTCTTCTAATTCGGATAGTCCGAGAGTTAATCTTACGGATACGCTATTGCCGCCCCTATAAATTATGCGGGAAGTGCCAGAAAATCGTTTGGCAAGTTTCACTTTTTATTAATGATTCATCGTGAAAATTGGCTCATATCTTGGGAACTGTTTGAAATATTTGCACGTTCTCTTCTGATTCTGGTAGCCAGAGAGCTAATCTTACAAATACGCTATTGCCGCCCCTTGAAATCATGCGGGAAATGCCGGAAATTTGCTCGGCAATTTTTTAAATTTTTTTGTAAAGTTTTGTAAAATATATAATTGCGTGTCTCTTCTTAACATTATATAAATTCTATTTGACCTACATACCTGAATGTTACTTTTTCAACTCAACGCGTTTATCTTTGTTTGTGCATAAACAACTTTTTTATCGCTTTCAGCCTGTTCCATGTTGCGTTCGTGCTCCGATCGTTCGAACGTATCAGTCTGTTCTTATTCTAATTCAATGAAACGCATTTTAACGTTAATTATCGACATAAATATTGGCACGTAATGGTACTAAACTATTTAGTGTTTAGCATATAATGATTTGTGCGTGAAACGATCATAAAACTCGAGTTTTCATTGTGCGTTAGTTAGTTAAAATAGTGTTTGTAATACAAGACTATCCGACGGGTAGACCCAATAAGCAAACTAACATTCGTGTTTTTTTTCTGTTTCAGTGCTTCTTTTGATTACCCAATGTCCCGGTAAGATGTTTAATATTATTACATAATTATTACATCATTTTACTATCTTTTGTCGCGTGTAACGAGATACCGTAATCGGTGTAAGTCTAAACTGTCGCGTACCGACGGATTAGAATTTGGGTTTCACTGTTTTTATCAGCTCGCATTGTTCTTTTGCATTCAAAATTCTGTAGTCGCGTTGATACGTTTATTAGTTTGAGAATTAATCAAAGTCTGTGAAATGTATATCGTCATTGTCGCGGGGTTGTGTGCGGTGCCGTCGGCTGACATTTTTGCAAGTTTTTACAACAATATACGAGTAATTCATATAATTCAATATAATTCAATATAATTCAATATAATTCATTATGGTGTTTTATTTATAAAAAAGATTTCTTTTTTAATAGTGTAATTTCCTTTTTGTAACACCCTGTATGTTTGCTTCCCTTGATCAAACAAACATTTATTAAATTTGTTGTTTTCGTAGGTTTTCCGATTTATTGTGGGATTTTCTTTTTATACATTGTAATTTTTCTTATGTGTTACCCTGTGTATTTCGTTTTCTTGATTTCCAGTCAATAATTGACTACGTTTGTTGTTTCCAGATGTATTACCCTGAATCGTAGAATAATATTTTTAAATGTA